CATACACAAAGAAAATCAAATTAAATGAATCCCAACCAACCACCGTTGCAGGTCAACGTTGATGATTTATCATGCAGTACACAAAAAAATACAATATTGCGACAATTTCCGGTACGGGGCGGATAGTGATCAACTCGGTACGTTGCCTGTACAGGCTGTGTGTTAGCTAGGGTAAGATCGGAGAAATATATAGGATAAAACTGAAGAGATGGCTTTCTCCAGTCATCCGATATCGTCATTGATTGAATTTACAACCTTCTGCTTTATCTCACATTTCCTCTAGAACACAAAAATTCAATTGGGATTGTGAAATTAAAGTAATATTCTGCCAGTGATTCGTATAGTTTCTTGTACAGCTTCTTTACAGAACATTGATGAGAAAATGTTCATCTGCACAAAAAATTCCTCATAAACTTTCCCTCCTCACTTCACTTTCATTTCTTCTCTCGCTCAAGACAATAGGACCAGACAAAATGATGGAATGAGAAACAACTAATTCGATATGACAGGTTCTTCGCTCTCCTGACTCTTTTTTTTCAAAAGGTTAAAATGCTGCTGCTACATCGTGTTCTATTGCTCATACGAAGGGAAAGTCTCTCCGACGATGAGACTTCTTCTGATGCAATGATGGAGAGAGAGAGAGACGCTCTCCTAATTTCATCTCCACTCACCCCTTGACTACTCGCCTTCAAAATCCACCATTCATTTAACTTTTAATGAGAATATAAAACAGGTACTCCAACCAGCACAATTCAAGCGTGAACGCTTCCACTCTAATCCATCATCTTTCGTAGGTTCTACAAATGCGTTGCCAAAAATAACTAGGATGGATTAGAATTATGGTGGCTGGATCTTCTGCTGCTGTGTTTTGCACACCCCTAACGTCTCAGAAAATTCATAAGCGAAGTTCATACAAGACTATTGCGGTTGAGTGTGAGAGGGACTAGAGAAACACGGCAAAGCTCAATAATAGCAGCTTAATACAAAACGCATACAAGCTCAGTCAACCACCAACCAAGATATTGAGAAAATTGAGATTCGGCTTTCTCTACCATGCCTCAGGTAGTGGTATAAAATTCACCGCTTCTCACTCACCACCATTTCAGTTCGGTAAGTCTTGGAATAACTTTTTTTTATACTTTTTCTGCTCTCAACCAAGTAGGATAAGAGAACGTGGGACATAATACTGCGAGATAAAGCCAACTTTTCTGTCGTTTTCACTTTATCTCATCCATCCTCTTCCACACCTGATTTACAAATTACGTCCACAGCATGACAAAAATAAAATAGGAGAAACTATTTATAAAGTTATTACATTCGCCTTCAACTTCAAGGAAACGTTGAGTGGGCGAGCTTTCGATTACCAAAGAGAAATGAAAATGAAAACGGCAGTGATCAACATTGCCATCAGTCTCACTGCCAACCAAAGAGTCCACGAGGAACTTTCCAACAACTTTCATTTTCCAACAGATGAAACTGCAGGGCTACCTGCTCGACAACAAACCGCAGTATCAATGATCCTCCCATTGGTTTATTTGAGTGAAACTGCCTGGGACGAGTGTACAAGTGTATAAATACAACCACATGAAAACCATAGGTTTGTAATTCACAAATAATCTGACACACGGTTCATTAGGCTGATAGGAAGCAGGCAGAGTGGTGTGTCATTAGAACAAATAGCCCCCAAACTGACCCAGAGCCGACACCTTCATAAACGACAGTAAAACGGTATTCCAGATTTACCAGGCACAACTGGTTCAGCCCCTCGTGTTAAGCTAATTAATCAGAGCCAGTGCTGCTTTATATTCATTCAAGCACGTAGTCAGATTGCATAAACGCAGTGTAATACTTGCGGTACTACTCAACACCTATCAACTACTGGTGGAGAAATGTGCTGCTGTTGAGAAATTCATTTGACACACGGACAGATACAAACAAACTAATGCAATGAATTAGAGAATGGAAATCCCACTTTTTCCTTCTCGAGTCTTACCATACGGAAGAATGTCAAATGTCGGGCATGGGGAGATTGTCGGATCTCTTAAGAATGGAATAATCATTCAGTATTATACAAACTTGTATAACTTGGTAATGGAGGAATTCAAGATCGTGACCTTCATTACCAAACTGAATTCCGACGCCCAGAAAATAATAATCTAAATTACTCGACAAAGTGACTCGATGATGAACTCAACCAGCAAATGTATTAGGAAGAGAACCTTTCCAAACGAATTTCAGAGTCTCTGAAATATTTCACTTTGTATGATGAAGAAAAGTCACAAAATCTTCACCTTTATTTCTATAAAAAAAACACCAAAAACACCTCAATATATAGAATATTTTACACTGTTTTTACAGCACAAAGCAAAACTAGTAATGAGGAAACGACAAAACATGGATTTGCACAATCACTTCAAAACAACATTTTACAATACACTTGTAGTTGTGCTATGCAGTTGGGAATCTTGCCAATGTCAAGAAACGTAAATATAGGTTTGGTAACGGATGCCTCTCTGTACCGTTTAAGAGATTATCGTGGTGGGATATCGTCAGTCGGTTGCATGAATGAAACAATTTTGCCGAAAGTGAAAATGCTTCAACAAGAAACGAGACCACGCCACGAAAAAGACACCCGAGTCAGTCGAAGGCTGCAGCAGTTCTAACTTCTTGAATCCTTTCCTTCCCCTTAGACAAGAAATCTGTAGGTGTGGGCCTGCTTTTGAGTTCGCCCAGAACCAGAATCCAGAACGCTAAGCTATCCAGCAAACGGAGGAAAACCCGGGACATGGATGGTGAATGTGTTTCAGAAGCTGCTACCAAGTGGCCCTTTTACCCGCATCCAGTATCAAAGGTTGGTCGATTCCGCAGACAAAATGATGTAGGAAAAAGAACGTATTTAGTAGTGCATATATGAGACTAGAGAAACCAAAGGGGCACAGTGCAGTCAAAGGTTAGAATTCTGATGCAGCTATGTTCGTATCTACCAACAGCCAACCACTTTCTCTCGCTAGATAGGACCAGGCTATGCGGAACATATGTAAGGATCTGGTCGTCGCTCTAATGTTTTACGTGGCACAATAAGTAAGTTGATCCAAAAGTGAGATAGAAAAATTTGGTGTCTATGGTTGACTTTCCTTTCCAAAACCAATCCAAGTTTGGCCAACTTGCAAGTTATTTCTAAAGTAGAGATAAAAGTTTCCGCGAGAGAGAGAGAAAGGACAAGTCAGTGTCAGATCAAAAAGAATTTAGCTTTTAGAAAGTAGGAGAATTGTATTCATTCCCTTATCCGCAATTAGTATCTTCTATTATCAAAAACAAGGAAATAATAGGTCTCTGTCTTTCCTCCATGTTCAGCAGTGTGTCAAGTTCATGCCATTGTCCAACTCCTGCTGAGGTGCCTCAAGTCGCGGAAATAGACTATGACCATGACGGCTCTATTTCCTGGTAACGAACTTCACAATTGTAAATTGAATTGGGTCGAGGGGTTTCTTGTCGCGTAGAGAAACTTTCACCGGAACTGGGAGGAGTTTGCTATTCAAACCCACAAAGTGTGCTTTCATTTATGAGAAGGAGAAAGTTACATTACTTTTAGTTGACGAGTCAACCACTTTCTCTCATTCATTCGACAAAGGCCTTCCTGTCATTTACTTTTGGGTTTTTTTTTGCCAGAGTGTTGGCATACATAATTTCAGTGGCCAACGAAACTCATCAGCAAAACCGTCAAACTTATCTGTAACTCCAGAATTGCTACGATTGACAAAAAAAATAGAAAAGAGAGGAAAGACTATGGGCTCAAAAGGGACGGAGTTACCCAACAGTCAGTCTCATGCATTCCAAGTCATTATCACAACTCATGCGACAGAAAATTACTTTCTGAAAGATACCTCGATCTTTCTACTATTCATCGTCACACATCACTTTCCAGTTCCACCTTTAGCTTTCACCCAATGTGACAAGTAGTGCTTAGCTCAAGGTGTTCAAGGGGGAACCAAGCCCAAATTATGGTAAAATATTAATGAAAAACTATTCCAACATTTGGTTTTCTGACAGGTTGGTTAACGAGACCCGTTCCCGTTGGCAGAAGCGAAACGTGATATTTAAACAAAATTGCTTTCACAAAAAGTGCATGACTACGAAATTGAATTGTCTTCATGTAGTTTGTGTGCTTCAAGACATTTCATTATTATAACAGCCAGTTCAAAAGTTTCCCAACACAAGGAAAGTTCTAATTACGGCCACACCACACTTTGATCGTGTTACACCATCGTGAACATCACCCCATTACCACAACTTCACCACTTGTCTATTGTTAATTTCGAATATAAGACAAATAAAATGGGCGAGTGGCTTTATATGCATACAGATATTCTATATATACACAACAATTTTGAAATGGTTTCAATTTGAAAATCAAACGCCACGTATACTAAGAAGTTCTTGTATGTAGGCATATCTGAATAAAATCAATCCTGGTTTTAAGTGCACATTTCTGTTAGTGAGTTTGGGATATTTGTATGAATTAGCGCAGCTCGGGTAAAGCTGTGATCAATAACTTGTGTGATTGATTTACGAAAGCCCGTGTAACCAAACGACGAGCACCAATATCCATTTCCATTCTGATATTTTTCGCATTTCAGGTAATGAATGATTTTTTCGTGCAAATTTGGGGTTTTGGGTTCGGTTAGGACAAGGACAAGCTGTTTTGGTCATTGAATTGATGAACAAATTGATTAACGATAAATGAACAATTGATGACATGAACAACGTATTTCAGTAATGCCAAGCTTCAAATGTAATAATAATCTTCATACCATCCATAATCTTAATTTGATCTCGATGTCATAAAATGTCACAAATTTTCTCTGTTGCCAACATATTACAAAATTTGACATTGGGCTCTTTTGTATGTCATAAATAAATACTAGCCGGTATGAAACAAGGGGAAAGTTAGTCTCTCTGTCCTCGTTGTAGGGGGGTGAAAACATACAAAATGTACTTACACTTACCGGAGCTGTACGAATCCGTTGACGAGGCGGAAAGAGATCTGCTGCGAATTCGGCTACTTCGTTTTGCAGCAGATGAGGCTTTCACATCCGGAGCGCCCTAAACAATGTAAGCACAATAATGTTTATGAGTAAAAAAACAGATTTATCCATCCTCATATAATTTATCATCTATCAAAAGATTCTCAGTACTTTACAGGCATCTAATTGTGGAACATTCCATTTTTCATTTCATTTTTTTACACACTTGTTCCATTCAGGTTGAAAAATTAGCTTTGTAAAACTCAGATGAGCTGCTGGCTTTATAGCTAATGTGAAATGACAATAAATACAAAACAGTAAGTATTACAGGAGTCATGAGGGTCGTCCTCGCTTCGCTACTTGCCATCTCTACGCCTTGCAGCGTCTTCTCCGTCATTCCAGGCCCGTTCGAAATCTTGGCGTTGGAATTGGCGTTCGGCATGTTGTTGTTAGCGGCAGATTGAGCCTCCGCCACCATTGGATCTCGATCCCCACTGGTACCGCTGGCTGCGATTGGAAGCGGATTGGTAAGAATTCCCTTCGGAACGGTTGCCGTCGTCCCGTTTTTCCCATCGGTTGTTTCAGCCGTTCCGTTCTTGTCCGCCATCCTACCGGTTCTCCCTGAAAATGGAAAGAAAAAAGTACAAAATTAGGGTAGGAATTAAGGATTATTATTATGCTTGGACCTATCCTGAAATGAAAGCTGATACCTCGATCCTCACGAAGAGACCACTAATTGACCCCTCGCGAGGACATAATAATAATAATAAATTAACAATAGAGAAATGTACGCAACCAGTCAAATGTGAAATGTGGATGTTGTAGAGCGAACGTGGTTGCACGTACACACTCTGAAAGTCTGAAATGTCTTAAACCGTGTTTAAACCCAATCAAAGACGGAATTTGTCATTATCGATCCACCAGTTATTTAGTGACATGACACTTATCATTACTTATTAGCACTACTGCAGCGTTGTCATTAAGACTGCACTAATAATTTTCAAATTCCTAGCAATTTTCACCTTTAAACCTTATAAATCCGAATACTTTCTACGCCATATTTTTCAATCAATCTTATAATCCTGCTATATGTTTTAAAACCCATGTATGAAAACCTTAGAACGAATACATGAAAAAGTTGTATACTTCCATTCATTACCTGATATATTACCTGATGATAATTGAACTACCGAAAAATTATCCAGTAGATACTCAATGCAAAATATGACAATACTGCAGTGTGTCTTATTTTGAAGTTCACTCCAAATCTTGTCAGAATGAATCAATATCTACAGATTTTATAAGCAAACTCACTTTTTTGTGGTTTACAGCCCCGTTGCATGCACAATGAAGTATTGGCCTTGTTGTATAGTGACGAAGTGATGAATGATGATCTAATGGAGTTAATTGTTGTTCGCCACCACCATCACGCAATTATCTCACTCTGCACCAAGGCGGGACCCAAGTTAACAAAAGTTCAACGGCAGACGGGCGGATGGGATGCGGTGAGTGAGACAAGGTTCTGAGAGGGGCTTATCTGTCTCCCGTGGAAATGTCTACGTGCAGGACAGAAATTTGGCTCAGGAAGAAAAGAACCGAAAAAACTGTAAGGTTCGTATCTCGCTGTTAGTGAAAGAGAGCAGATTTTAGCTTGCTCCCTCCTCCGGATGTTCGTGGTTTTTTGGAGTGACTCATGAAAACGGAAGCATGCTTGATGCGAACAAGTATCATAATAACATGCGGGTGGGACAAGTGGGCGACAATTCGCCAGCACGACGGGATCTTGAAAATGCCAATCCGAACACTTTTATTTTTGGCACTCTAAAAGCTACAGAGTAAAGTGCATGGCTGTTATTTATGTAAAAGTGTGACACTCCTCGCTGTCACACACATAGGACAACTACCCGGTTTTGCTCTATCTATTACATTGTACAGCAAATAGTACTGGTTAATTGTCAGCCAGTACATCAAGGTCGTCTGCAGACTCTCTGTCTCACAAAAATTTGCAGACTGATTTAGATTTGTAATTAATTTAAGCGAGACACCAGGCGAATGATGTCTCATCTCATGAGGCACCATCGTGAAACGTGAGACTCTCATGTTTTATTAAGTTTTTTAGAAAAGAGATTGGGTTGAGAAATCTAATTTTCACTTGTACTTTGATCATAAAATTAGAACTTGACTTTATAATATTCCAAGAGAAAGGAACACACACGAATATCACAAGAAACTCACCTTTCCTTAAAAATTGGAGACCCATCTCGCCACTTTTATCAAGGGTTCACCTCTCGTCGAAAATTGCAAATGTTGCAGAATTTAATCACCTAATTAAATTGAGATTATAACCCGTCAAAAACTTTTGTCAGCCCTTCTACTTGAACTGAACGATATAATTCGAGTAATTTCACGTGCAAATACTCTTAGGAATTCAAATTATTGATTTTCAATACAGCGTGAAAAGGCCTCTCCTCCTCTGGTGCTGCGGAGTCTCAAATCGAATCTTCTTTGAGAATCAAAGCTGCAGAAAACGTGCACACCACACGTCTGCCACTGAACTCCTTCCTTATCACCGTCTCTCTTTTCCCGACTTGGATGAAAGTTCAAAGCAAAACGAAGCCCGTTTGACGGATATCTCTCACAATTAGTGTATTGGATGTTGCTTGGTAGAAGGGTATCGTGTCGTCGCTAATATTATTCCCTCCATAAACTGAAGCACACTTTTCTCGAACATGCTCCCATTTCGTGCAGACAAACCAGAATGAAATCAATCATTGCATTTGAGGAAGTCCTCAAGTTTCTTTCACTTTGCGCACAGTTAGCAAAATGCATGAGAACCTTATTTAATGATCGTCTCTGCATAAAACTTCTCTCATGACTTCGAGAAAATATATGAGTAGGAGACCAGTTCGGTAGTGTACGGAACGAAAGGTTGTCGGTTCGATTCCAGCCAAATTTTTTCGTGTACTTGGTTTAATTGGCTTTTAACAAAATTAAATGAATTTCCTTCTCATCTTCCCAGTAAAAGGCAACAGATTGATGTCGTTGGAGTCCAATGTTCCGGTTTCTAGTCCAGACGGTGGCATTCATATTTCTGCAAATATCTGCCATACTTTAACAGGTCTGCAACATCGCCAGTGCGTACATTCTTGCTGCTGAATGGGTTATGTGTCAAGTTGTAAGCCTCCAGATTTTATTTCTTTTAACTACGACGATGCATCTGCCAAAATCTTTTGAGGTGAATAAACTAATTTGCAAATTTCGTTGCACTTTAACGACCGTATTTCAAAATGGCCTACTTTTCATGGTGCATAGTACTCACTCACTACCGGGTAATAAATAATTTGATGCTCGAAATGTTTTGAACAACATTTCTTGTTAATACGAATTTCACATAAATAATATACATTTGTCCAACAAATCTATAAACAAAAATTGTAGAGCAGCTTTCATGTCCTTCAAAGCGGTTCGTATGTATTATTGAATGCTTTTACCGTTTAGCAAAATAAAATAAAAATGTACTAAACAACGACATACATGCATATTTTTGGCTTGCAAGTATTCATAAGTTGAAGGAATTGTTTGTACTTCAATGTCAATTTTGACTTGGAGATAAAAAAAAACATTGTAAAAGCATCCTGTGAAGCGTCAACAAAGGAAGAAAATATTTCTGAGGACAATACACACGAAATGTCGCATGTCCTTCCAATTTAATAACTTGTACTACATACATGAGATAAAAATACCGGAAAAATCCAGCAAAAGAAAACTATCCACAAAAACTCTACAAGGTTGACACGTGTTGAAAATGATGCACGGCCAGTCATGCATCCTACAAAATACGACCATATCCTCCGTTTTCCTTGCCTGATTGATTCCACTTTCTCTCATGTGTACACAACTGATAACCTTCTTCGAGTCAAACTTTATGTATTCTCAAAATATCTTTGCGTTGTGTAAGCTTTACAACAAAAAATTGGTCTCGGGAGACATATTATTATTTTCGTGAGTTCATAAGAATTAGTGCCATGTTTTTTATCATCTCCAAGAAAAGGATCACTTGAACATAATATTGTTAAAGATTAGATGGCTTCCTAGAAAGCGGTTTGGTAGAACACGGACAATGCTAAAGTATCAAGTTAGCTAAGAATCTCTCGGGAAGAGCAGAATTAATCCCACAAAGATTAATTAAGTTGGAAAAGTAAATTATTAATGTGCAAACAATAGAGCATGTAATCTCTTGTGGTTGTCGGATTTCCAAGAAAAGCAAGGAGTTTAGCTCTCTATCTCTAAAGTTTGTTAGGGGCTGGAAAGCCTTAGCTCTTTAGAAACCAAACCACTGGGGTAATGAATTAACAACGCGTATCAGCTTTATTTACCATCTCTGCTCATCTTGTTGTACTTAATTTTCTGAGTGTACGTAATCTTCAAGGATGAATGATTGTAAAATGTAAAAAAAATTGCTACGTATATTCTGGCCTTCAGACTTTCATTTCATCAAGAAATAAAAAAGACCATTCACATCGGGTAAAAAAAATGGGAAAACAAATCCCTTGAAGACGATTACAGACACTAATGTTTTAAGTTCAGCCATCAACTTCACCATTGGTTCGTTGATACTTTCTCCTTTTATTGGTACAGAAAAAGTAGTATGAAAGCACATTCTATATAAGCTGCATGACTGACATCATGGAATTCAATCAGTACGGCTGTACAAATCATTGCCACTCTTTCAAAGTATAAAGTCATGTCTTGAAATTGGATTGTGCTTGAACAAAGTTCGTATTTTATACAATTAACAGTGAGGTTTCTTCAGTAGTGTGTATTGTATTGTAAACATGTGGTGAGGTTTGTCCAGTCCAGTAATTTAATTTCCTATGTCACTGCCATATCTCAATTTTTTAGCAATAGACCACATTTTATTTGATATTTGATATATGTATGTGTGTACGAAGTTCCACGAAATGTTACTTGACACATTTTTGTTTCTGAACTGATAGCTGGATAAGTCATGCTTTTAGGATTTACAAACTATTACATACAAAATAAATACATTCATTTCAGTTGGAAGTAGAATAAAATTAGTATATGAATCATTCCACAAATTAGCGGGTCTTAGCTAAAATGAAAGGAATTTTCTCCATTCAGGAGAAAGTCGCACTAGTCCTTACGACCAATATGGCACCTCGTTTTGTGAACTTGTAAACATATAGTGAAATTCGTAACATTGTTCATTAATTCAAAATCAGTTTTCTATATAACAACATAAAACTCTAGTGAAAGCAAGATGTCTCGAAAAACTAGGTGACTTTCTAAAGGGCAAACATCACACATATTATTGTAGCCATATGTCTTGAAAAAAGACATGACTTAATGCTCGTAGTTGTAAATATATCCAAGTCTGATATGCCATTAGCGACACACATTTTCATCCTCCACGCATGGCCTAGTTAAGTGTGTTCCCCACAGTCTCATTTGAGCAGGTTCCATTCATTTGAGCTAGAAATATCATAAACTTCAACAAGCCATGCAATCATACACATGAAATCTGGCACGGGTAGTCCTTGATTTATTCCCTAATGTAAATGACAGCCCATTTAAATATCATTATTTCTGGTTGTCTCCTAATACGCGACTACTACTGCTGGCTTTGTATGAGCTTTTACCAAAGTAATCGTCAGTGTATAATACGTACGTACGTATGAAAGCATTCAACTTTCTTTCTTCCCAAGCTGCACGCTACCAAATACACATTTCCTGCACCACCTGTCAGACTATGTTCACTTGTTTTCGAGGTCATTTATCCAGAGAAAATTATGACGTCTGTCATCATCAGTGGCCCGTGAAGAGGAAGGATCAGGGGAGCTTTCTCTACTAAAAAGATGAAATCACAGCTGGAGACACCTCGACAAGCAAGTCATTCATGTACGAAGAGACCTTGTTAGAATGTATTCGAATGACTTGTTAACAAGAGATGAAACACAATTTGCTTCCATGTGTTCATAACCGTAATTTTCCGACGGGTTTCAATCATGCGAGCGTAATAAAGGGGTTGATGATTGTATGAATTTCAAGCTGTATGAACGACGCTATCATTCGTATGTATGTTCTGATGGATAGGATTTTGTCATCCGGCAACGTTGACAGTTTGTTTTCTGAGAACTGGAAAACCTCCTCAAGCACGTTGTATAGCAATGTTAAATTATTAGATTTTTTTAGTTTCTGCTTTTTTCGCAATTTTCAGCATACAATTGAGGCCGAGTTGTTTGTACCCGGTTTTTTAATGGTGCTTCAAAAAGGAGACGCAACACTGACTCAACAGACAATTTTACAAAAAAAAACCATGATGACGTCCTTCTGTGGCTCTGAATATAAAGTCAAAGTTTTGCTCTATGCATGCCCTTTTACCTTTCAGAACTTCAATGTCATTTCATGACTTTCTCCCAATTACGAGGACTTATTCAACTTTTTTGTTAACAAGATTTCTCTTCGGTTTTATATTCTCCCGTTTCCCGTTCCCGTGTCAAAAATTAATGTCGCCGGTGTGACAGCACTTCACATTTTATTAAGTAGCTTCAGCTACTTTATGTGAAGACTTTGTCTGTCTGTCTGTCTGTCTGTCTGTCTGTCCGTCTGTCTGTCAGCAGGATAACGGGAGAACGGATAAAGATAATCGAAATCGGTTTTCGCCATCATACATAATACCCCAGGGGGAGGATCCTATCAACTTTTGGGTGCAACCGGACCACACCCCCGGTCGCCAGGGGGTGTGGTCGGGGCAAAATGAGATTTTTAGTGCAATTGAATCTATGGATGAAATGGAGTGAAATTTTGAGTTCCCCCGTTGTGCCACACCGCATAGATGAAATACAGTAGAATAAAGTGCTCCCGAGTTGTGCCACACCCCCTCGTCACTAGGGGGTGTGGTCGGGGCAAAATGAGATTTTTGAAAAATTGAATGTATAGATGAAATACAGTAAAATCAAGTGTTCCCGCGATGTCGTGGGAGTGCTTGGAGTGAAGTAGTCTGAAGCTACTTCCGTATGCGCGTTTGCGACGGTTTATTTTACCATCAAGATAATAATTTTTATCAGTTTGTGGACTGACATTAATTTAATTGACTCTTCGATGCCAAGTAAAACTATAAGGTTGCGACCCTTCGTTAAGAATTGAGATAAATCTTTGCAGCCCTTTTCTTATTATAATTTTTATTAAAAGCTTGTAAAGTTTGATCCCTGTTTGCTTCCAGTTTTTATGTTCATTGTTTTGTGATATGAATAATTGTTGCCAATTAAATAACATACCTGTCACGGTTGTCACACTGGATTGGCCCGCAATTACGGAACAAGTGGTGCGGTTAGGAAAATCCACAAATCGAACTTCACGATGATACCACAACCAGCTTGGACGGTACTGCTTGAGACATTTCAAAATTGATCTCGGTTTTTGCACTGGCTGGACAGCCTGAGTCGCCGGTATTACTGGCATATCCGGGTATTTGTAATTCTTCCCTGTGTCCAATCTGGGAAGAATTTCATCATCCACGTAACTAAGATTATGTACAGACCCCTGAAATAGGAAACGCGAATCAAATTTTACATATACGATGTACCTGCTAACAATATTGGAGGAATTATGTATCTAAAAACATGTGTCCAAACACACATTTTCATGAATGAAATTACTCGCAGTCTGCAACTAACAGAAAATTTAAGTTCATAGGATAACATATTGCCTGCAAAAATAAAGCACAAAGTTTCCGAGTAATAAATTTTTCTATTGTCGGCAAAATGTATGAATTTAATCGTATCTCATAATTCGGGAATTTCAAGGCCTATTTGCACTAATATGCATGACTCTGCACAACCCATAAAAAATCACGAGGAGTAAAATGAGAATGTGTATGATTCGTAAAAATGTGCAAGTACTTACCATGATCTCGATGTGCTCAGTGATAAATTCGTCGACTGGGTCCACGTCGTCTTCGAAAATGCTTAAACTCATTCTGCCAATTCTCTAAAAAAATATTAAAACAATATGAAAATATTTGTCAGGTGACTTGAGATGCAAACGCACGAGATCACATTTCTGCAAATATGTAAGTACGAGTCAGGAGACAAGAAATTAAATATGTCTGAAATACGACGCAATCTTCTAATGGTCTCCGTGACACATGAAACTACATCAAATTGTATAATTATATCGGGAATTTCTATCGAGATCATATAAACCGAAGGAGGCACGAGATCAATAAGTGTTTTTCTTTTCTTTTCGGATCACATGAAAGTCACACATATTTTAACTTTCCATGCTTTTCCTGAATTATTTTCGATGTGTATTTAGATAATTACCTAAAGGAGAAATAATAATTACTCACCGATTTATCAGGCACCAAATTTGACAAGGATGGCTTGTGTGTGAATTAAAGTGTCTTCAAATTAAGACGTGCTTCTTGTAAGAAATTTTAAGCGCAGTGTGATGATGATGACCCAACTATTAACAGAAGCTGATTGCCAGTGTCACTACTGGCCGGACAGTCTCAACGCCTATTTTTGACTGCAAAAGGGTTTCTCACAAACAAAAAAGGCTTAACATAACCGTATCCATGTATGAATCGTTGAAGGATTGGTATTATTCTGACTGGATTATTAGTGTTATAACCTGGTTGTAACTATGCTATTAACGAGACTCGGCTAGGTAAGTGCCCCGACCGATGAGAAATTTGATATATGAATGGCCAGCCAATAACCTTATAAACTTATATTATATGCTACTTAAAGACTGGAACACGTTGTCCGCCATATTGTACATTTGAAGGCTAATAAGAATAAGAGGCGGAGTGAGGAAGTTCCTTATTGTAAAATTGTTTATTGTTTATATGATTGTTTCAGAAAACAAAGAATAATTTGGCAAGTTGTTCTGAGTAATTAATTCACAATAAATTCCTTCTTGCATTAAAAAAATTATTTATGTTGTAGATATAAAGACATTGTAAAAAATAGATTTCATCTCGTTTTCATTTCATCTCGAATTTTGGACAAGTCAAAAGCCGAATATTAAAAAATGTGATTAGTTAAGATTATGGCATCATGTCGTTTGTATGAAACAAAAAATTATTGCGCAGCAATTGCATTTACAATATCCAAGCCGCCACCATTTTTCAAATTAGAAATTTCATTTTCCATGCCATGCGAGTAGAAGACTTGGACAATTTCATCGTATTTTCTTGGAATGCTGCAACCCTGTGCGCTGTAACAGGCAGCTCCAAAGGGAGCTGATACGTTCAGTCGCATCAAAGAGAACCGTGTCAAACGAGGTACTTGGCTGGGGTAGAGTCCTAGAACGTCCAGAAACCCAGGTTGAAGGTATTTCCACGACTTCCATACGGATCCAATGCAAACAATGGGAAGACCAAATTGAGTGTTGTGCAAAGCCTGCAATAAATTATTACAAAAAATATTGAATAATTTGGCATATGATTTCCCATAAAACTATGAAATACAACTAATCTAATCTTATTTAGCGTACTGGATCGATTTTTGGTGAAACAGAGATTAGGTGTCTTGCCAAAACTTCACCAGCCATTCTGAACAAATGGCGGCATAGAGGGTCTCCAGATTCTGCTCCTTCTGATAATTTTTTTGTCAAGCTCGCAAAGAAGGATTTGTTGAAATCCTTGTAGGAATGTTGCAAAAGTTCAAATCTAAAGAATGTATCTTGAGTAAAACTTGTTGATAAATATAAAATTTACTGAAAAATATGTATTTTTTACCGTGAGTCAATTTTGAAATGATTTAGGATCAGTTTCCAAACGAAATCTGTATTGTAAGGCGGTTTCTCAAAGTTGTCTTGGTCATCCATGCAAAATTTTACTGCCTTGTTTGCAATCCACCATGCTGTTACAAAGATAATCATTTAGTTTAAAATTAATGTTAATTAATGCACTTCAGTGAGATTATTCTTCACACCTGAACCTTCATCACCCAACATATGACCCCATCCACCACATCGGGCTTCACTGCCATCAGGATTAATCAGCAGACAATTTGACCCAGTTCCCGAAATCAAGACAATTCCTCCTGTTAATTATACATACGTTCTTAACATACTTCAATGTCAAATAGACATATCAGATTACGAACCAGCATCAGAAACTGCTGCAAGTGGACACTGCGTATCCGATGCTATTGCCACATAATCAACGCTCTCACAGACTTCGGAAATTCTTAACCTCAAGGCTTCATTTGTTTTTGGATCCTCGCAACCGCTCAGACACAGTGCCTGCGAGAACCATCAAACATGGCGAATAAAATAACCATAAAGTACATCATAAAACATTCGTCTGACGCATTCTTACCAAACCGTTAACAATGGTATCCAGTTTCAATCCGGCTTGAGCTTTCAGCTTTCCGATCATATCCACCGTCATTTCACAGCATTTTTCCATTCCAACAAGCTGTATTTTTTTTATAAATGATTTAAATCATATTAAGTATGGACTAGGAATATAATAATTTACCCAGAAATTCATTGCGGGTTCATCACTCAGTTCAGATATAACTTTTCCATCACCGCCAATCATGACGGCTGAAGCGTGGGTAGCTCCCCTAAAAAAAAAGAAAACATGTACGTCAATTAGTTTGATAGGGTGGAAAGAACTTTAAATGCATGATATAAAAATGCATATCATATAACTGCATAATTCTTGTTAGAGATAAACCATGAGAATAAATGATGGGGATCCGTTAATGGAATTTAATTTTTATACATACATTTTATCCATTATTAATAACCGTAAAAAATGGCATATGTCATTTACAGTTCATAAGTAACTTGATACGCCATTCTTGTTTAAAATATTTACAAGCGGAGAACTAGCTTCCTTGTTATAACCAGGAAGGTTAGGTTGGGTAAAAGAAGTTAATAGAGGCATTACCATTCCCAAGACTTTCATTCATTCCTATCAATCAATTCAATCGAATTTGTCTCATTGTTTTTGTTGAGTGTTCCAAGAATCGCAAAGTCATTCGCAAAATCGAATCAAAGCAATGCACCGTTTATTAACTCTAGACTGAACTTAGCCAAAGGCGATGAGTGAGAGGTGCGTTATAATTTGATTGAGAATTAATTTATATTCATGTTTTCCTTCATCGCTATTAATATTAACGAGTTGTTCTGCATGTAAGCTGGGTAGCTGGACAATGAAATAAACTACACTCGTCAATCCCACCTACCATGACTGGTTTCATTACCTAAGCCACTAATTATATACATACATGGCATGCTCGTAAATAGACGACAATGACGATGATGTCCATCCATACTGGATTTAGTACAATACAAAGGAATGCAGATATTTCCAACACGCAAAAAAATGTGACAAGTTCAAAGTCAGAATTAAACGAACTCTCAAAAAAATTGCATCACATCGCATCGCATCACGTAACATCCTCTTACCTCATTGGACGCAGTAGACTTTGAATCTTTTCATAAAAAAAGATGCATGTGTGTGTGTAATCGACGAATTTGTATTAATTATCAGAGATAATCAAATCACATCATGATACGTATCTGCCTACACCCACTTCCACCACAGGGAATGAATGGATTGATGATATGAATGATTAGTTTACGTGAAAATGTGAGACTGACGATCATGTTGGGCCGAGCGCATGGCTGATATTGTATGTAAATACCTCGGATGACAAAAAATTGTAAAATGTTATCTACCTCAGCTATGCATAAGCCCTTCAATAAAATGTCATCGGTTATTTAAATCTCACTCTCATATAAACATAAACATTCCCTTAATTTAATGCTTCATATGCTATGATGATGTGGAACATGTTCATACCCTCCAATTTTATTGACTCGTCTCCTTCGCCCTGCATCAGTCAAAGTTGACCATGACCATGACAGTGACCGCCATCCTTTATTTGTTGCATAATCACACCGATCAAGCCACAAAGCTGATAATACAGGTTTGGCATTGACACTGAAGTGCTGCACACAGGTTTACTCGGTCATTTCTGCATACTTTATCTATTCAGCTTATGACTGTATTATGGCACTAAATACGTCTTATACTTGTTCACGACATTGGGGAATGAATGGCACCCAAAGCAGAAGAAAACAATTAGGTGGTTATGCTCTTAGTAAATAGTAATAAATAAAGTGCCATGTGACAACACCGTGGTGTGGTGTAAGGCCCGATTACATATTATTATCTACCCATCTTTCAACTAGGATTACAAAGTGTCATCCGTAATTAAACACGTTCATAGAAAAAAACATTTATGGTGCTACTCTCTGCCATTTTATATAATATTATAGGTTTATTAGGCTGTTGGTAAAAGGACTGATGAAATTCAATATCAAAACATCATTTTTATCCAGAAATAGGTTTCAAAACCAGAATAATTCTATGCCCTAGCCACACATGCTCGATGAACGGAACAAGAAATAAAAACACAGCTGGCTAAATAACACTCTCACGCTCAAACATTAAAGAAAAATAATTGTGAATCTATGAATTTAAAATCTTGAAAACCTTGTGAAAAAAAGTGTCAATAAGAATGAACAAATGTACGTATATGAATTGCAATGACTTCCTTTACTACACAATATTTACATTCACATTTACCAAAACAATAACATTTGCAGAAAAATTACATCATAACAAATGTTGAACTCACCCTTCAATCCCGACAAAGTACTTTTTGTTCATCGTCCAATGATGTTTAATTTTGTAAAGTTGACCAAATATTCAAAATCAATATGTTCTATAAAACTTGTGTTACTTCTTATTACTTTTCAGTTCTACAAACAAATGTTCATCTCCCACGAAGACACGGCTCTTTCGGAGAGTCTCACTTTTGCTTCTGAGCAGGCAGATGATTCAGTCAGCGATTGCAATTAATCAGAGATTACTCTCCCTTCACTATTATCGTCATTCGCAGTAATAATAAAGCTGCTCGTATCTATGCAAATAGTGACGCAAATATCAATCCTTGTGTGTATGTATGTGGACGTACATGTATACAAATATGTGTGCTTACTTGCTTATTTATTTATTTATGCACCTTCAATATCTTTCATTCACTCAAGTCTGTAGGCTTAATTTGCATTGTAGATATTAGTAGAAGGGACGTGCCACTAACAATAAGTTTCGTCTCGATTGTATGCAGATTGTTGGTGGTGGTGGCGTCATTTGTAGTAGAAATCGTGCCAATGATAGTAATCGTAAGAACAAATAAATGTGTCTTTCTAATTCTTGGAGGGAGGGAGATTTTTCTGAGAAGTGGTGGAAGATTATGTCGCCGACGTGACGACCAAAAATGATGTGTGGGGTACGTTGTGTCGTCGTCGTGTGTCGTCGTACATTTTACCAGCAAAGTAATTAATTATAACTTACTGACTGTATGTATGCATGTGTAGATGAATGGAGATAATAGCATATGAATTAGCCCGTTATCTACATATCTTTATGGTAGAGTTGATTACATATTATGAGATCTATTCCCTACTTGCGACTGATGTGGTGATGATGATGACCACCACTTGACGAGTTTTTGACGGATGACATGCAAACGATTATTTGATGGGTTTTTCTCTAACCAAAGCATGTAACAATTGCCTAAATATAGGAGTGATAATGAGTGAAAAGCAAGAATTTATGTATGTACGGAATGGATTTTCTTTGCTGGACATGAGTTATAGAAGTTTGATGAAAATGCATAATTTCGTCATCCTTATCATCAGAGCAGCATGGATTGGTGAGTGATTGGGTGAAGCTGTCTCGAAAGACGATGATGTATAGGATGGACCGCATTAAGAGATTAATGTTAACGAAACAAGATAACTGATCGAGTAAGTCATGTGAGGCGAGGGTTTGGTTGGGTAAATGCCAGATTTTATTGTGGATAATTGGATAATTTAGGTTAACAAGTAGGACGTCGTAACCAACATTTGACGCTGCGTGGTGACCACTGTAACGGATAGGAGTCCTTTCATAATTAGATATTAAATGCCAGCATTAATACATGGCCAGCAACACGCAGGATAATTTGAGATTAAGATTTGCTACATGCTTACATTAATATTATCACCAGCAACTTACATATTTTGCAGTTTTGTTGAACAAGGGTTATAATTTAGTTAAAATGAATGGTTACACGCCGTCAGTGGCTGCGATGAAGCCGTTCAAATGCGTGAAACATGATGAAAATGATTCTTTTCTCAATAACTGTAAACATGATGTCTTAAGTTTCGTCTGGAAAATTAAATTGGATTCCTTTTGAAAGTAGATCAAAGCAAAAAGGAGTGTGCAAAGTCGTATTGTATGAATATCTAAATAAGGAGCATATTACATTATCTTAAACATGTGTAATTTGATAACTGCTTGTTCTTGGTCGTAAAGTTTTTTCGTAGTTGTTTAACTTTTCTCTTCCAAAAGAAAAGCAAGCTACGTGTGAGAAACTCACGTACAAGCAAATGCCTATTTTTCACCTGCCGCATTTCTACTTATTCCATGTTTTGAAAATACGTTAACAAAAGCTATTGTGCCATATTTTATTTTATTGTCAATTTCATTTCTAAACAACGAATGTGTGCATGGGCTGACAAATATGCAAAATAATTCGTAATAAATAGTCAACAAATTGATATGTTCAATGCCACGAACGGAAATTCCTCGTCTTGCTCAGGACATGGCGTGTGCGATATGCACATTGGAATGAAACTTACTTAATCATTGCCGACTTTTTCGCAAGTCTACCTGACTCTCATCATCAACATTCATATTGTAAATACGAATCAACGAATCATGACTGACTTTGTGTAGAATTTAAATAACAAATCAACTCTGATTGCATCACGCAATGGTGTGGAACTGAAGCACAATAAATCCCTTATTGTACCAGGAGAAAAACTTCTCATAAATTTCAATAATATTAAATAAAATTAATTATGTAGCTTTTTTTCTTCATTTTTTCTGCTCTGGGTGTTCATGGTGTTGGTAAAGAAGAAAGTAACGCATTTCACGGTGCGCTCGTGATATTGATTACCATCTCATCATCCATGGATGGATTCTCGTTAGCATCTTCTTAAATCCGCCATGAATGACTCATGAGAACATTTTCCAGTCGAATTGTTTTCAATGTGTGTGTAACTGCAACTTTTAATTCGCGGGTGACCTTAAACGCTTTGACATTGAGGTGGTAGTCAAGTTAGGTTAATCGCTTTTGCGTATACGGCGTGGCGTCGGCTTGACTTTTGATATATTCCGTGGTAATTGTTTTACATTAGAATTAGAACGACCACGCTAAGCAGCCAGAGTTAATTTTTGCTGAATTGGAAAAACAAGATTCATGAATTATTCAATTAGAATACCGTGTAAGCATTATACTCCTCGAGGTAGGTACCAGAATTGTATATAGATGGATATGTAGATGGATGAATAACGAAATATTTGACATTTCCCAGCCACATGAAGCCATATAATAACATACATACATGCATAATACGGACAGAGTCCAATTCAGAATATATACATATATGCTCACAAAACTGAAAGTAATGATCTTGTGTCAAGTCAACAATTTCCAGATCTATTTTCTTTTCTAAATTGTTTGTGTGACGAGTTGTGTAACTTGTGTACATGTATCGGATCTACAACACACAAAGAATTGCTTCACGCTTGTGTCCATTTCCTGCATGGTGGCAATAATAGATTCCATAATAGTTTTTCTGTGGAATTGGACTAGACGAATGAAATAAAATCAGTAAGCATGCTCGCCTGAATGTCATTTAAACAAAAGTATCCAGTTTCCAGAGTCAGAATTATAGTAAAAGTAAAGATATATATATTTACTTTTAACTTTATGTAGAATCAACAATTTTGATCACTTCCACCATCCATTCGCTAGAAGAAGCCATATACATTTCTAATAAGCAGTTAGAAGCCAAATATCCTAGAAACTTGTACATACATATATCACATCATCACCGCTTCTAAATTCATACATAAATCTCACAGATGCCATGCAATGGTTTTAAATTAATATTTTAATACTAATTGCTCGGCTGAGGTAAGCAACAGCGAATAATTCTATGTGCATCATAAATAATTTTCGTGGTTTAAAATTCAGAGTGATTAGCAATTCGCAATTCATATAAGTATAATACTTGTTACATTTTCTTTGTCTTTATTCCAACATCTTGAGCATAAAGTTGTATTGTAGTTATTGTGGCAGGTGGATACATACAAAGAACGACAAACGAAGCCCCAAAAGTCTCTCGTCGTACGAGAGCAGTTAAATTTTGCTCGTGTTCATCAGTTGCTTTTATAAAGCATTCTACTCTAGATTCATAAACCGTATTGTACTCGTCGTATGGACTCTTTGCACATCTTCTTAAGGAACATTTAGCTACAGAAATTGTCTCAACTCAAAGGATAATTATTTGTTCATGTTTGGAAATTGTGTGCGTCGCAGCAAAAGTTCGCGTTTTTTGCATGTCATAAAGTGCATAATAAGTGATTTTAAAGTCATATAGTACACAATTTCAAGAAGAACTACAACGATGTTAACGTAAGTGCTTGGAATTAGCGTATTAATTGTTATTCTTCTTCTGCCATCAGAATATCCTAATTGAAATCGGTCAAGCATGCAATGGGGTAAAAGTAAAATGAGGCGTTAGTACATGCATGCCTGCCTACCATAACCTCTCCTCCTTGTTAAATTAAAACTCGTCATTAGGGTTGGTCATGTACAGATACATTCACACCAAACTCATCCTCCTGCCAAATATCTTGACTCTCTTAAAAATTTATGCTACTTCCTTCTTCTTTGGTGCAGAAAGTAGTAACACGCTGGCGAAAGGAATAAAGTCTATTGTTTGCAAAATACCACTACCACCACCACCATCACCACCGGCATGGAAGTAATACCGAGAAAAGCGAAGCTGTCCAAGCTCCAATCAACACCCGCAAACTTTGTGGATTGCAGAAGTGAGGATAAAAAAGTCGGCTATGACAACGGGGTAAACTCCTCCAAGGACAGGATCTTTGATATGCTTTCACTAAAGTCAAAAAGCATGGAAGATAAGTTGGATAAATTGTGCAGCAGCAATCACAAAGAGGGCAACAGTCAGATGAAAAACAACAAGTCAATTTTTAAGGGTCACAAGTTTTGTATGGATCCAGAGCAAATGGGGTTTCGACTGAAAAAAATGTCTGGCAAGAAAACACAGGAAGAAGGTATGTACAAATAAATTGTCATAATTTTTCATATTAAAAGTGAGATTTAGACTGCATTAGTTGAGATACATTGACTGGATTTGTGACACTTTTACTCTGTGTTGAAATATAGAAATGTTGGAGAAAAGGTTTCTAGGATTCTCACTTTCCCGACCCACCCCACAAGTAAGACTTAACAACTTGAACAACTTGCTGAGCTCGTTGACTTCCCCCGACGACGACTCCACCCCCCTCAGTTTGACTGATGCCAAGAATCAAAGGCTGATTTCGAAGCATCTTTGCCATCTCAGAATTAGCGTTTGTGGAGACAAGGGAGAGAAAGTGTTGAACGACAAGGAGCACGCTTCCCTTACAGACGTCATGGTCAAGTCTGGCTTTATTTCCATGTTGGTGATGAAAATCCCACTTCTTGGATTCGAAGAGAGGAAAACTGCCTGTCTCATTTGGTGCAACTTATTTCGACGCCCTGTTTCTGAGGGACCCATGGTCACTTATCTGGAGGGCAACCCAAAACTCTTGTTTTCTCTTTTGGATGGGTGCGTACATATATAAAAACATTTGCAATAATACTCAGAAAATTTTGCAAAAGTTGAATTTTACGCAAGTATAAAGATTTAATATGTTTAAACCATGCTATCTGTAGATACCACAACCAATCCCTTGCACTGACGACTGGAAGGATGCTCAGAGAATGCATCCGTTACGAACCGCTGGCCAAGTTGATTCTGTACTCGGAATATTTCTACGAAATTTTCGAGTTTCTGAAAACGTCAACTTTTGAGACCTCCTCTGATGCTTTCATCACATTCCAAGCAATTTTGATGGAACATAAAAAGCAGTCTGCGGAATATATTAAGGAGAATTTCAACAAGTTTTTCACAAATTATGACAAGTTGCTTACTTGTGACAATTATGTGACGCAAGTGGGCAGTTTGAGGTTCTTGTCCAGGTTGCTGTTGGAGAGGCAATTTTACGACCTCATGCGACAATACGTACAGGACGGAGCAAATCTGAAGAGAATCATTTTGCTCATGACGTCTTCCTCTGGAAATATTCAATTGGAGGGATTTCACATTCTAAAAATCTTTATTGCCGATCCTGATCCTGCTCCGCAAGTAAAATCAATCTTCACGAAAAATAAGGATCGACTAATTCGCCTCATCACGATGATTAACGGTGAAAAATATGGGGAGACGTTTGGCGAAGAAAAGGCCTACGTCATTAAGCAGTTGAAGGATTTGAGCAAACGACATGGTTCGGGTGTTAGCTCAGTAACTGGTTCAAGTACCGATGATACAGATGGATAAACAGTTCGTGTGTATCGCTACTTAATTTATGCTACTTAAGTAACGCATAAAACAAATTATATATCCATTTCCTTATTTTGTAACTATTAATCAACATGGTAGGAATTCTTGGATTAAGATTTGAGTTATGTAAGAGTATTGCTATTTGTACAAACTAGTTATAAAATCAAAAAATAAATAGAATATCAGATATTAAGTCACAATTTATTATTGCATGCTATTTCAAATGCAAATATACGTAAGTAGCAAATCATAAATTAACACAGTGCGAAGTACTAATGAGGGTAATCATGATTCCTTGGTATCCTTAGTATTCTTTGTATCGCAAAATCCCTCATTATATATCTAGAGCACATTATATGCAGATTATATATATCAGCTATCATCATCACAGATATATTTGTCTTGAGGAATATTCTTCCACCGCTGACATCGAGGACAGGGTTTCGAAGGGTTCATACATTTGGCATGGTAAACAGCACCACAAGATCGACACTACAAAAAAATCATAATAGACTCATGGTCAGTTTATTGTGGTCTAGCGTGAAATAATATCAGAAATATAAATTGCATACCTTAAAAATTGATTCCAAGTTAAAAGGAAAAATCACTTCTGGGTTTTTGCATATTTCGCAAACGAAGCCTTTCGCTTTACATATTTTGCACGAAATTATGTGAGATTTTCCTGATTTAAGTAATTTGGTTAAGGGAGCAGATAATGCTCGATTGGTAACTGATAACAAGTCCTAAAAAGCAATGAGCAGTGAGCATGTAAATTATAGTTGTTATAAATCATTGAATTAGAATTATCACATAATAGTCTAACATACTGATAAGCTATAAAGATGAATCTTCTCGTATATATATTCCCGTGAACACATTTCTTTTTTAAATTCTTCAAATGCCGTTTCGTCTTTACAAGTTTGAAGGTACATTGATACATAGTATAATTTTGTCCTAAGATCCTGTAAACATGAATACAAAATTTGAAGTTCATATGTAATTCATGCTGTATCAAGTATTTTATATAGTTAGCTTACGCGAAGTTCGCTCAACTCGTCGATGAAAGTATATAATTTGGAATTAATTCGTTCCAAATCAAAGAGTGGTTGATCCTTTACCATTTGAATAAAGTCGTGAGATAATCTGCAAACGCTGTACAGCGTAAAATCCCAATTCAAAAGTATCCGAGATGGTATCACGTTCATGTCCAAAAGGTGACAATTACTGCAAAAATAATTCCCCGTGAAGTGACATACTCTATAAAATTTAAAGATACTTTATTAATTGAAACCTATAAAGGAATAATAAAAACTCTTTGGCAAAAACAAACAAACCTAGCTATTGCAATGCTCATTCCAATAGGTGCACTACAACATTTACAACTGTACTGCTGGATATCCATTCCGACTTCATTTGCAATCTTGCCCACAAATTCCGTGATTTGAGAGTACTAAAAAATAATTCATGTTTCAAGATGTTGACTGAATATATTATAAAACCCTCTTGATTAATCCATAACATGATGTAATAAAATGATTACCATTTCAGGTGAATGATTATTTGCATCATAGGTGAAAATTATCTGCCATCCATCCTGCTGCTTCAGTCTTTGAGAGTCGGTCTGAAATAATTAATAAACCAATTATTATGATTTAGAAACGCAAATACGGATGGGCACAATATTATATCAAGCTAATTACAAAGGAAGTGGTGATATCTGAAGACTCCAAACCATCATTATCAGTTGTGGTTTCCATACTTGAACCACTATAAATTTCAGCACCAATTTTCTTTTCATTATTGTACGCCGCAAGAAGATCCAAGTAACTTAATTCTTCATTTTCCACATTACTAGAGCTTCTTGCGTCTGAGTCAAGAATGATTTTCGAGCTAGGAATAATTGGTTCTTCTGGCGTCACATCCAAAATTACTTTGCTTTCTTGAACAACTTTCTCCGAACTTGTGTTTGCATGTTGAACAGTTTCTGATCTCTTTGAGGTGGAGGTCGTTGTGACTATTTTGTGCTGCAACTCGTTCTGCTTGATATCTGCTAATGATAATTCTTTTCTTGAATTTGACTTGGACACTGTTGAAAATGCGGACTGATCTTGCGTTGACAGCACCGAGTCAGCAATTCTTTTGGATCCATAACCACCAGATCCGGAATAACTACCAACAATCATTGGGGACTCTTTCCCATGAGCAGTTGCTCCAGATTGACTTGCATCTGAATTGCGCCGGCTGGATGCATTACTGGAAGACGACGGCTTCGATGCCATTATGATACGAAGTGCATCTTCTTCTGCGAGAAGTGGTTGGCGTCGCAAGGCAGTAACGAATTCAGGTACGGGATTCTTCACCTTCCCGAGTTGAGGAATTGTTTGTAAATCTTCGGAATCCATGTTTGAAGCAACATCAATCCCTTGGGAAATATTATCGTCCATCCATAACCCAACTAAGGAAAGGGGTCCACTAGTCCACTGATTTAAAAGACTATTGTCCACAACCAACTCAAACTTACAGGATTCCACCACACCAACGAGGTAATTCTTTAAAATGTCGCATTTTTCCGAATCTCGTAGAAAAGCGGAAGGCTTGTAGAAACTTCGTACATAAGTCTGATTTCGAAACATGTTTTCCAAATAGCTAACTAAGCTCATTTCATTTAATGTAATTCGAATCCATGCTCTCGATCTCCCCACATCACTGTTAACGTAATTGAGTTTTCGAATCTGTTCAATCACATCACGGTGGCTAAAAATCATGACAAAATCCCAGAAAGAAGGGTTTGGAATGGCATTTTCTCTTCTTGAGGTGAACAATGACTTGATGAAAGTATTTTTTAGTCCGTGGATAAATACTGCCTCCAGGATCCAACACAACATGTTGGTTGCGTCTTCATTTTTCAGTGATACCCAGCTCGCAGCCGTGTGTTTCATAACAATTTCACTAACACATTCCTTGAGTCGTAAAATTAAACTTGCTTTCACGGCACTGTCAGCACTGTCAAGGGCCGCGACGGATGATTTTGATTGGCGGAACATTTTTATTTAATAAGGAAATGTAAAAGAACAATATAAAACACTACTGTCAGTCTGTCATTAAAATTAACCCGTTGTGGTAATTGTTCGTCGTCTTGTCTGATTCTAAATCCTTCGAAGGTTGTACTTATCTTGTAGAATTTGTACACATTTTGTGTGGGATGTTCCTTCCCTAATGATACGGTAAAAGCCCTCGGAAGATAAATCAATCACCGTAGATCCGGCACGTGCAATCTTTTCCGTTTTCTCACAAATTGAAAGTCTCCCCCCATCAAAAACCAAATCTAGCGAGGGCCATAACTCTTTAAATTCTTCAACTTCAAGGGTACTTGGACAAGCTGAGAAATTAGCACTAGTTAAAGCGACTGGTCCACCGTGAAATTTTGCCAAATTAACAATGAATCGATTGTCTGGGATTCTGATTCCAATCAGATTTGTAGATGGATTTAAATTGGGATTAAGTGATGGCTGTCTTTCAAAAACAAGGGTAACTGGTCCTGGGAGTAGATCATCTAGTAAGCTGGTAGGAACGCCAACTTTTCCCCATTCATAAACTTCGTCAATAGAGCTGACACAGATAGCTATCGGTTTTCGGAAATCCCTTCCTTTTATGCTATAAATTCTGGCAATCGCTTCATTATTTTGGGCATCCGCTGCAATTCCATAAACTGTATCGGTCGGTACGCCTATGACACCACCAGATTTAAGAATATTCGCTCCGTGTTTCGCAGATTTCTCTACAAACTCTTCTTCAATTTTAAGAACCTCGTATCTGCAAATTGTGTTGGAATTTAGTTCCTTGATTCCATAAATTGTGGATGAGACATTCATGCTCTTGAATTCTAGCTGGATTTTTGACCCTGTGCTAATAAACCTCCTCAAAATTTGAGATGGTCTAGATATAAATAATATCGTCCGTAGATTTGGAGTTCTGGAGAAGACGGAGGTCATTTAAGATGTTATCATCCACTGGTCACCACCTCCAACAAGTGCATATAAACTATAAATATAAAACAAAATCAACATTATAAATTTGACTCCAAGTTCAAACAATAAGTCATATGCATAATCCATAATAGACCAATTGTCATTGATTGTAATTATGACTCAATTGCTCTTAATTGTACCTAACTTCTCCCCAGTAGTATAAAGTAACTTGATTTCCTGTCTGCAAATACAATCAAAACGACCCATTTTCAGATATTATAATTTCAATAATCACTTTCTGAAATAAACAATTTAGTACAACACAAATAAAATGAACCACTAACCACTTGATTCCAGGTTACTTAATTAATTAGGTTGCCGATTTAAAATATATTTCGTCACTCGTGTTGAGGAAAAGTGGCGAATGACGATCCAGTTGATTTGGATTACTCAACTCAAATCCACGAGGCGCTCTGGGCATGGGTTTTTTGAGAATAGATTTTTGGGTTAAGGTAGGTATGTACGTTGTCTTTTCAATAATAAAATTTCTTTGACATGAATGCACATGAAATTTTCACAATGACATTCATTTTCTGCTATTAAACTCATAGCCGACTATGAACTTTGACATGTGTGCCAAAAAAATTGTTATATAAAATCTTTACCTTTGAGACAATGTTAGCCACTGGCTAACGCTTGAACAGGAGATAAACACGTTAAAAAAGGATTTGACAATACCAATGACGATTTTGCTTTGTGTAGCGAATTATTTACGTTAAAATGGAAGGGAAAATTTTTGTATCGATTGGGCGTGCGTGAAAATAATTTTTAAAGCTGTGTGATTTTGCCCAGATTTCACACGTGAAAAAGGTTAACATTGACATAAATATGAAAAAATTAAATTTTTAACCCTAATGAAATTTTACAAAATTTCACTGCATGAAGTATAAAATTGAAGAATGAAATGAATTGAGCCTGTGGATTTCAAACAGACCATGCGAGAAAACACAACATACATACCTAGCTTTATTAGCTTATGATCTCCATACTAATCTCACTTGGTCAAGGTTGACCCAACTTCTCAATTCGCAATTAGTTCGCAATTAATTCAGAGATAATATTTCTTGGATAATTTACACTTCTGAATTAGTTAACCAATACATTTACATTACAATAGTAGTGAAGAATTGTTGCGAATTCAAGTTCAAGGTCATTCTCAAAATGTGCTACAACAACCTCAGCTGGAGAGTGGTTTTTTCTTAACTTTACTTTTACTTTACTGCCAAAACGAAGGTAAAAAAAATAATATTCCTCGATTTACTCATCAATTTAATATTACATAGTATTATTAGAATGGTGATTGCGTATTTTTACATTACGAATTAGTATAATATCGTAAAATTTAATCATTTTTTATGCAGATCTGTAAATGCGAGGGAATAAAAGGCTATTCTAGTCGCATGAAGCAAGGGTTTTGTTTGATAATCGTTGACACGTGAATTGTGATTTAAAGGTGACGTAGGTTTCATTATCAATTATTATCAAGTAATTTGATTAATAATTGAAAAACTAAATAACTGTTGTTATCCTCTGATCTGAATCTGTAAACAATACTTCTAAATAACTGTTGTTTTATATTTTAGTTGGTGAATACTATTTATCCTTGTGGAGCAAGGAACATATGAAGTGTGCAGCATGTTACAATTCAAGTAAGATAATGGACAGATAGTATTAATACAGTTAACATGAATATTGTTGCTGAATTTATTTTTGATTTGTTTTCAGGAATACTTTACATTAAAAACCAAACTACATTATTTTGACAATCAAGTTGATTGAATCAACAACAAGAAACAATGGCGGAACGGAAATCGAGAGAAAATGTTCAAGCTACCTTGTACCGCAGTAATTCTGCAGGTAACGTAATTTCAAGATATTTCTGAATACTTGGGTTTATTGCAAATTTGGTAAAGGTTGCTACTTATTGCTGGCAACAATTGAGTTCTGCTTATTCGGTTCGCCTCTATGAAAAGAAGAATCAGATTTTCTGTTTGAGACTTGGTTTGAGATTTTAAGTTATCAGCTCAGTAACTTTGCAAAATTACTTTTGGGTTACTGAAGTGGGTAAAGCTTTAAGAATTACCACAACAGTATGCAACGAGGCAATTATGCAAACTTATTTGTGTCTATCCATCAAAGTTTTTTTGGTATTAGACTTTAGTACTATACTCAGAAGTTAAATATAACTATGCAGAATATGCCAATGTTGGCAGCAGGCGTAATTGAATTTTGACAGGTGACCCCGTTAACCGAAAGGCCGAATATTTGCAGTCAGTTGAACTTAACATCAACAAGAATGGAGTTGCGACATCGTCCATAAATAAACCATTTGCATTAAGCAAAGAGATAACGTCGTGAGTTTGTACAATATTGATAATAATTTCCAAGATATGACGAAATAGGAGTGATGAAAAATGACTAAAAAGTAGCTCCTTTACGATATGTACTATATAGAAAAGTTTACGTTATGCCACACATTATTTATGCATTATTTCCATACTTAGATTAAAGATTATGCAACGCTACGTCAAGGCTCAAGTGTCATCCACTTGAGAAAGAGTGAGCGATATGATTAGTGGTTATTGCATTTGTAATCAGATTTGTTTTTTTGGAAACTTGCTCGTTCTGATTGTTAGGGTGTGATGAGTAATATTCTAATTTGTTGTATTGCATCAATCATTTGCATTTCGGTTTTATTATCGGTCGGGCTCTCAACCATCACATGGTTCGTTGTATTACTACATTGATGGTCTCAAACGATACTTGTACTATCAACTACGACGCAGCAGTTGAAAACCGATTTCCATTTTCAACATGATTTCACCATGTGATTGCTAAAATAGATTGGTTCCAATAGCAGTTGCCGTTTAACATTGCATAGCAGGTGCCGTTGAACATTCCATATTTTAAGGGAGGATCGTCAGTTTGGTGGTTTAGTGATAAAATTGAAATAAGCCTTGGTTGCACACGTCCCCACCCCCTGCACTACGCTGGCTCACTACAAACAACACGTCCATCACGGCTTGTTCCGTTGTAAGTTGATAAAATTATATGGTATTATTACAGCAAACTGTGTAATTCGAGATATACGATACGTTATATTTATCGTCAGTCACCATTTTGGTGGGTTGATAAATGAATTAGGAATTTCTGTACATACTTACTTTTGCTAAAGGCATGTCCGTTAAACTGAATTTTAGAGGAGTTAAAAAATACATAATTTGTCTGCATTCAAAAGAGGTCACACTAAGCGTCTACATAATTTAGTAGGGCTTTGACAGGTTTGATTATTATTGTTGGTTTATATACAACCAATTCCTTCCTTCCTTCCCTCAATTTTTACATACATAAACATAGATACGATGAGTAAATAACCTGTTATAACTGGATAGTTTTATCTCGACAAAATGCAGTACAACAGAGCTACACGTTATGCATTTGTCATTTGATATCCTCCCCGGAGTACAAGAGTTAGAGTGCAATGGCTATGTAGACTGAGATTTGATGCTTTCGATCCAACTCGTCAACATTTTCTCTGTAAGGTTGTGATAACTTACGGATTATACAGACATACTTAATTTTAGCTTATTACTTGTTAGCTTACCATTGCATCATGTCCCTTTTCCGATTCCAGCTTAACTCAATTAATATATACACGTATATATATTTAATATGTAGTCCTTCCTCCACTGTCAAGTCGTTGATGGCATTCTTACATATATTAATTATTCATTATTAACAGTTCTTAACCTTAGACTTGACATTTCAATCGTATTTCTCAGACAGTTGCATTTCCCTATTCGCATCGTGAAGAATTACAACGATAGCTCCTCGAAGAGGATATATTTATCAGTATTTTAATTGTGCTTGAGAAATTTTTTCTTGATTTATTAATAAAAAACAAAAAGTGTGAGTTTTGGAACGTGGATTTGAACAAAACTTTTTTTGATTGTGGTAGAGTTTCTAAAACTATTGTTAAATCGAGTTATCATATAAATAAGGTTGCGTCAGCGTGTAATATAGGGTCTCAAGTACTCAAGTTGCATGCATTCAACTTTATCCATTCTAGAAGAATATTCTGTACTGTACATGATCGATACGATACATTTTGTTTGGTAATGATGTGTACTTTGTCCACCAATTGTATTGCCATTCTTTGTGCTGCTTCTTTTTTGCCGACTCATTATGAGAAAATAGAATGCAAGCTTTGTTAATATATATTTGACAAATTCTAGTTGTCCTTTGGGTTCGATTGGGACAAATTGATTTAAAAACATTTAATTTTGTTTCATGTGAAGATGTTTACTCAATAATTTCATTCTGCTTGTATAACTTGGACTAACTGAGAGGCTAACTGTTTTTTTTGTGGTAATTCTGGCCTAAAAAACAAACTAAAAAGAGTAAAATCGAACATAGAATAGTTACTTATATAAGATTAAGATCATTGATTTTGTTCTTCCTCCGCAAATTTACTACTTTAATTTTGAATGAACTGACTTGCTCTTGTCACATTATTTTGATAAAGTCAAAGATAAACTTTCTCTTAACTACTTTCTGAATTCGCTTCATAGGAAAACTAATAATTGACTTATTCGGAGAAAATCAATTTTGGGCATTTATATAACCCGAGCTAAGCAGAATTTCGTTGTTAATTAAAGCGTTATGGTACCGAGCCAATATTAACTTTACTTGATGAATCAATAGTTTATTTATATGTGGTATGTTCACCGTAAGAATATTGTCATTATTGCTACTATTAATTCAAAACCTTGGTTGTCTTGAAATTCGATTTAGATAAAGCTAAGATAAAAATAAAATGGTTGCCATCTGATCTGAAAATTGAGAAGCTAAATTTTAATTGGTTTGCAGACGTGAAGGACGACACTTTCAAGCTGGAGCCCATCAGCCCTTCCGAGAAGGAGCAGTTTGCCTTCTCGAGATGTAGCAGTACTGGATCCATCAACACCTTGTCGTCCTCAGCTCATAATACGGGTAAGCAAATTTTAAAGTTTGTCAAAGTTTTGTTTGTTCTTTATTTAACATGTACCTGAACGTGTTTTATTTTATTTTATTTTCTAGACGACGAAGACACCGACGGAGGCAACTCAAGTATGAGCTACAAAGAAAGACGTCGAGAAGCGCACACACAAGCTGAACAGAAACGACGAGACGCAATCAAGAAAGGATATGATTCTTTGCAAGAATTGGTGCCCATGTGTCAGCAGAACGACTCATTAAGTGGATATAAATTAAGCAAAGCTACAATACTGCAAAAGTCGATTGATTACATACAAGTAAGCATTTTTATTGTATCCTTTGAAGATCTGTATGATGGTTTCCTTCAGTTCAGAACACTCAACTGTACTTGATTTTTTTAGTATTTGCTTCAACAAAAGAAGAAACAAGAAGAAGAACTGACTGCCCTGAGGAAAGAAGTAGTTGCACTGCAAATCATGAAAGTAAACTACGAACAGATTGTGAAAGCACATCAAAATCAGCCAGGAAATGCTGCACTACAAGTTTCTGATGAAATAAAATTCAAAGTGGTATGTCATGCTAAGTATTTCACGTTTGCAATTTACAATGTATGCTCAAGGTATTTTACAAAAATAAATCATTTCAAAAGATATTGTTTTTCACTTCTAGTTCCAAGCCATTATGGATTCATTGTTTGTGTCCTTCAATTGTGGAATGAGCACAGCCAATTTCACCGAACTTTCAGCTTGTGTTTTCAGTTGGCTGGAAGAGCATTGCAAGCCTCAGGTGCGTTATTGTTTTTATTTCATTGATTATTGTCATCTTGAACCCCATGATTGATATTTTTATTGTCCTTCGTTCAGATTTTAAGGGATATGGTCCTAGGAATTCTTCAACATTTGAAAAATCAAGTTCCGGGCTCCGGGCATTTGTAGTTAACTGTGTACCCACTTCCCAATGGTGCTGTTTTTTTGTAAAAAAATGTTTTCATCAGCATTCAGCAGAAATGTAGAGCGAAATTATAATTTACATGTATAAGATGCATTGTTATTTTCTTTATATACCAGTATACGTTACGTTTGGGTTTTTTGCTTGCGTGTTTTATGACGCTTTATGAACAAATGTGTTCTTAGGTGTATGATATTATTGTTGTTCACGTGAAAATTTACTAAAACCCGACAAATCTAATTATATATATCTGTGTAAGAAAATGTAGTTCATGGTTAACAAATGTTCAAATTTTTTCGTATATTTTTGTGAATGACTTGTAATGAAATGAAATTTGTATCATATGTATGTGAATTATTCTACAATGATTTCGCCAAATCAAAGAATAATAGACCTTGCTGCCAAAACAAATACATAATTATCGCTTCATGATTTTGTCCATAATGCACCGTCACCAGAGCTCGGAAGAATTTGACATCTCATCCTGAGTTGTTTTTCTTGGTCATTTCTTTGGGAGAAAGTTTGCCAATCCTGTGTGACGGTAAGGTGTAAAAGTGCAGACGCCGGTAATAAGTTGGTAGTGGCTTATGTAAAAAGTAACAACGTAGACGTCTGTTATTCGGTTATTCCCAACTGATATAATTTTACTGCATGACTTTCTTAATTATTACGACTTAACTCATCTGTTACCTAAACGATCAATGGCCACCATTCCTGTACTACTTAATACGAGTACATTTGATGGAATCCACTTCTCCCGAGTTTTATAAGTAAATTACCTTTCTACTCTGGTCTCCGAGACTGGATTCTGGTCAGCATGGTTTCCACTGGAATTCCTTAACTTTCAAGTTGACATTCCAGGTTTAATTCGCATAATGGGAAAGTTTCTTGAAACCATGTACATCAAGACACATACTTCTTAATCAACATGTTCACCCTTAAACTGATGCAAGTAACATGCTGAGAACATGCAAATTAATAGGATGTAGTAGACTACGCTTCAAATGAAACTAATTTTGTAATTCCTCTATTTTGTATCTCTTATTCGGCTTGGTTATAAATACCACATCAAATTTGCGTCTCAGGATGATCGAGCGAAAGCTAAAGCTAATTGAGACACAGATTGATTCTCTCCTATTATTGGAGAGAACTCGATTTGGGAAGGATTCAAGAAAGTAGACATTTGTATAACTGGATATCGAGAGATCCGAAATCTAAAAAAACGACACTTCATGCTCATCTCTGATGATTACCTTACGTGACGCCAGCACAACGATTATGATGAACCGTCTCATCTCGAATATTTAATTAATGTCTGCTCATCACTAATTTTCCAGGCATTCAATTACGTTTATTTTACTTTGAAGTACATTTACAATGACATAAATTTAGTTTTGAATAAAATGTTACTACAACAATGTCAAACTACAGACAATAACACTTTACTTAGCTCTGGATGTAAAATAACGTTTAAAATTCGTATTTTTTATTCTGTAAGATAATACTAAATATTCACAATAAGCACCAGATTATCAACAACAGCGTCCATTAGCAACTGCCTGTGGTATCTTAATTTATTTTTTAATTTGATATACTAATTAAGATTAAAGATGTGATTAAAAATTATGCATAACATACTAAAAATTTAGTTAACGTTATGTTTTAGCAATGTTACCAAAACTGTGATATAACAAAAATGACCATGTATTCAACTAGATGTGAGACAAATGATTGTGCAATTTACTCATTGCAGAATTTTCAAATTTTCAAATTCAGATTTTAGCTCTCACATTAATTCCAGCTATCAACTAGAGTTAACAGCTACACTTACATAACATTTTTTTCGTATTACTGTGCTTATCCAATATATAATACAAGTTCAAAACCGGATTGAAGCGGATGACAACGTAACGTGAGATTGAGAGCGAGGAGCTACATAGATAAAAGAGAAAGTGGAGCTTTGCTTGTGCACGAGCGATGAGAACCAGTCAAGTGTCTCAACATACATCTTAATGGACCAATTTCAATTCCTTCACACCCTAAAATAAGTTAAGATGTTAACTTCTTGATGAGTGCGTTGGGTTTGTGGCCGACAATTTTGAAAAAAATCCCTACAAAATTTCTAAATCGCTACAAATTGTTCAAACTGACTTTCTCCATTAAGAAATAGGTTTGCATTTCTTCTAATCCGCCTTCGCGGATGATTTTAAGATGATGAATCAGCCACTTCAGAACGCAAACCAATTAAAATTAGTCCATCCAAATCTACGTGTAACACTTTACAAGGTTGCATTGTAATTGAAAAGAAGACAGGAAATAGGTGAAAGAAAATCTGGTAGAAAATGAGAAAGCAGCATAAAAAAAGAGAGTTGTATACATCGATATTGTAGAGGAACACAATGAGGAACGGGTTTTATGGGATTAGCGTAAATAGGTTAGGATTCCAGAGATTTGTTCTCTCCATGACAAAACCACCAGCAAAACTTTCATCTTTCTCTTCTTTAATCAAAAGACTGTGGCATTACGAACCGTATATACTTCTACATTTCATTCAGTGCATTAACCTCATGCACCCATTACGTGCACAAAGAGTCTGCATTCACTTTGACTGACTTTCACTGGAAGCATTCACACGACATTGTCTAAAATGTATTGAATCCATGCCACCTGCTGTTGTTGGGCGATTGCTGGCAGTGCACGGGTTGTGATGTGAGTGCAAAGGAGATAAGGATGCTGTTGGTCGTAGGGAATCTGAGATAGATAAATTTAACTGATTTAACTCTCACCTTTGCATGAGGAAATCTACTGGAATCAATTATGAATGGAGCTCTCAGACCCCCACTCGTTCGACCCAACCACCAATCCATTCAACAAAACTCATGCATAATAGAGTGAGACACGTATGTATGTACATATTTAGATTCCATTTTCATCAAAATCCCAGTCGTCCTCTTACTTTCGTGTGAGGGGACAGTTTTATATCCGATTCATTCAATACTATTACTGTTAAATATAAGTGAACTATGTTAAAAAATCTGATCCAATTAAATCCTCATTGCAGCTACATTTCACGGGGTCGGGGGGAATTTCTGGGAGAAAACTGGTCATGGACGGTCAATTGTTCTGGTGTTTATTTGACGGAAATGGGGGAAACAAGGACATATATGTACGTATACGTATGTATAGTCTGTTGAAGTATACGGTACAGCCAATATATATTTGAGGCTGCTAAATGTCAATAGCTTTCTTCAGAGGTTCACAACGGGGAGGGAAATGGCTTGAATGTGCTGCTGGGAGATAATACGAGGATCAGTGCTGGTCAGCTTAAGTTTGGCAGACACTTTCTCTTTTATGATTATGAGTGTGCAACATTAAGTCTTTTCCTATCGTATAAATATCCCGGCCAGAGGAATATGTCCTCGTGAATGGGATTGTTTAAAGTCCCTCTTAATGCAATGCCACCGAAGGAGAGGAACCGCAATATCATAAACGAAGTAGCAGATTGAACTTTATCCTTACTGCTCGACCAATCTGTGTGCTGCTGCTGGTGACTAAAGGAAAGCAGCACAGCACTTTCCTTTAATCAGGTTATAGATGGGGGTTATAAACGGGATTATGCATCGGTTTGATGCACAATCCCGTTTATAGCCTCTCAATAAAGCATGATAAGTATCTGTATCATTGAGAAGCCTTTCTTCTATTTCATTCCTGCTAATACTACTTTTAGCCTAATTTATCCTAATAATACAAATCTCGCCGACTGCACAAAGTCAACTTAAGATGGGGACCGCTCGGCTGTAAGAGTGTCGAATTTGGTAATGTCACAGGAAGTTTGTTGTGTGGTCGTGCTTCGAGGGTGGTGAGTCCCCTTCCTTCCCCAGTCTGGACAGCAAAGTCTCCTCAGCACGCAAATGTAGCAGCAGAGCAGAATGAGCACGAGTCCTGTTCCAAGAATGACGATGGCGACGAGGGCTGCAGTAACAGGTTCTTTGTCGACTGGCTGATTGCGGTGACCTCCAACAGGGATTCCGTACCCTTGGTTCGCTGTACTGTTGTAATTCATCTTGAAAATTATTTGTGTTTGCAGTGCAATCCAAAGTTTTCTCGATCCAAATGTCTCTTCTCTAAGTATGCACGCCAATTGGGTGCTATATGCACTCGATGTATAAGTACGTACGTATATCAAGGGTCTTAAGATTACCCGGACTCAATAGGTTTTTTTATCTGAAATAATTTTATGGGAAACAATTGTCTCTGTTTTAAATCAGATTAACGAGGAGATTCAGACTCGATGAAATGTGCTCAAGTGGGCGACAGGTTTTTATCAGCTCAAGATGATGAGTTTGATTGTTCAACTTTTTCCGGTTGTCTCGTCTTGTCGAGTGGTCTAAGCTATTTTGTTTTTCTTGAAGAGCTAGTCAGCCTCTAATAAGAAACCCTACAGGGTCAGTTGCCTCTGAGGATGAGGAGAACGCGAGTCAATTTTCCATGGACATAGACATCAGGTCTGATTGAATTTCAACTCAATCACAAGCTTGACATCCTCTTAGCAGGAGAATGCTAAAGAAGAAAGACGAATGATCTCCTTTCTCGCCAAGTACAGTTATGAAACTCTGAGATTGGAAACTCTTGGATACGAGAAATGAGTCAAGCACATCTAATCCTGAACATTTATAAAGAGCGTGGATGGTCCGTTTTCATTTGTATCGATTATTCTGAATGCGGCAATTGTATATTTTCATAGGATGGGAAGAAAGTTACAAAGTAAATAATTTGTGTCTGGCTGCTTGATATGTGATTGTTTTATTCCATGGAAAATGAATTCCTCTCGGTTTCAGACGTTCATGTGGCCTTGGGGTGCTTCACCTCGGAGTTCGTCTCTATAAAATATTCAAACAAATTTTTCGTTAATTTTAACCCACAAATTTGATACTATGCAAGTAATACAATTTCTAGCAGAATTATGGGTTTGTCAGTTACACGTAGTAACCGCATGTGTAATACATTTTAGTAGCTTTTATATTTTTTCCATTCATTTATACAAAAATTTAGGAAAAGAAGTCGGTCACATATTACTTATCCTTAGGGAAATTGAGAATAAACGGTTTTGTCAGGATTATTTAAATATTAAAAATATTCCCCAATGACACGTTTTCATTTTGCGGTTGATCTGGTGTACATACACATGAAAATTTCCTATTTAAAATAATATGAAGATGCTCAGGATGTTGTCAAAATCCTCTTCGAGAACCATGACATGAAGCGTCATTAATTATTCAGCCTGACACACATCACAACGTAATCACAAAAATATCTTTCTCGAGTGAAATCTCTCAAGTCTTATCAAAGTCATTCTTGAGCCCAACTTTCTCCGTGTTCATGGCTTAAGAAATTCCTCGTTAATGCTCAACCCTCACTAGCGTCATTCACTCGTAAAATCTGGGCCAATCATCAAGAATAAAGGAGAATTGGCTATGTAGACGTTTCCTTTCACCAATCAGAGTTGCAAATCATCTACAAAAATCAACTTTCCAGATAAAGTCCATATAAAGATTACTTTCTAGCCTTGAGCAGAATACGACAATATTTTTGCATGTAAATATGCTACATGTCTACCAAATAGACTGACAACTCGGGTCCATGAAAGGACCGACTTCGCATCAATGGGAGTGGTGAAAGGTGAACGTATGAAATAGAAAATCCTAAATGAATCTTTTCAAAATGCCAATTTTCATATTTTAATTAAAGACCAAGGCTCTTAGAGCATCGGCTTTAAAGTATATTTGGCATGTTCGACTAATTTGTATTTTGTGTATGCCTTGTGATGTAAAGTCCCAGTAATGAGGTCTCATGAATACAAGTTTTCACATACTTATTTTAATTCCAAAATCTTCGACATTACACAACGTTCGCATACAGACGATGGCAAATAAGCCATGCTTTTTTTAACTTGAAGAACTACCAAGTGCATAAGTACACGTCTGCTTCAGCACGTTTCCTTTATTTGCTTTTAGTTACTCAAATCTATATTGGAACCAGAAAAGACGAGTAGCAGTGGTGGTGGTGGTGGTGATGGAACAATTCGTCGTGAAAGTGAGCCCCCTACCGAACCCAGGGGACGGAGAAAGTTGTCAAGGAGTCCACGACACAACAAAAACTGGCAGCATCATCATCATGTCGAAAAACGAGCGATTGTTTGTGAGCATAGCTTACAGACGTACATGTGCTCCCAGTTGAAGTATGTAGTAAATCAACAAGGGACATTATTACTATTGAGTTTCTGGTTGTGCAATAAATTGTGATTCGCTACACAAAAAACCAGCCTTTAAAACTGTCAACCTCGGAATATTCTGGTTGCAACATGGGCAATTGTTTGCGTCTTGGGATTTCAAAAATTGGTCTAGCGTGGACAAAACGGAGGATGAAAACTTGTAAAAATACTTGTAACATTTTCTGGTTTATAAAAACTTTTTGAATAATTTAGACTTTTCCATGATTGTCAACAGCCAATAAGAAAAACTCAATTTCTCTCCTGATTTTGGGAACTCAGGCCGTAGGAAAGACGACAATCGCACTGAGATTATGGAAGTGTAAGTAAATACATGGTGGAAATTCCATTTTGGAGTTTCTCCCCTAGTCAACAAACGAATTGAACAAATAAAATAAAAAATTAGACTTTTAATTAACTTGATGATTGAAACAGTTGTGAGGCATAAAACCTTTGGCATAAAATATAGCTCCAGGATTACGACCCATAATGTTTATTTACGTTTCTTCAAACTAATCTAAATAATGACGCATTTATCACGTGTTTAATTACTCAGTCAAACGAACCCTGCCGGATTTAAACTACGTTCAGACCAAGGGATTTAACACGTACGCCATTCGGAGGAAGAATAAAAGTATAATCAACCTTTACGACCTTGGAGGACACCCTTCCATCCAAGAGCTCTGGGATCACTATTATGCCGACGTACGTAGGAATTCAATCAGCAAGACAATAATATTGAAAATAATTAGTGGATGATTGAAAATATTTTAATCAAGCTCAAGATCTCTACTTTATTTTTAGGCACACGGAGTCATCTTTGTCGTTGACGTGAGTGATCAGGCGTCCCTGGTTGATGCCGGAGCAGTCTTTGCAAAAGTCATCAACGATGAGCGGGTTCGAGGAAAGCCGATTTTACTGTGAGTTTTATTGATTAAATCCAAAAAATAGTCGCCAATATTACCCCTGCATAAAAAATTCAACTGGTAAACTGATACTGGCTGGATGCTGGAGCATAAGTAGCATGATATTGGGGAGCAGTGAGTGCTAGGAATATTGTCGTGTGTGTCACATCACATATTCACTCACGTATGTATGTATTATGCATTTGATCCGTTTTGACTTGACACTGCGGGTGGTTGCAGTTTGGCGAACAAACAAGACCTTGGCGGTGCGTCAGAGGTGGAGTTGGACAGTCTGATGAATCTGCAAGAAGTTGTGAACACGGCCAGATGTTTGACTAGGCTGGATGAATCTGCAGCCACAGATTTGAAAAACGACAAAGGGATTTTCGACGGATTTAGGTGAGAAAACTAATCAAACTAATTGAATAAACAGGCTGCACCAATTTTCCAAGTACTACACTCAGCCATGCAGATTACACACGAACGTGACCGTATTTACATATCCCATCAAGTATTGACACTATGCTGCATTTAGTAAAGTAGGGTTCGTAAGTTTCGTAAGTGAGACTTTTATACGTTCATGTGTGGCGTCCTAGATTGAATTATCTCGAAGCAAATCATGCAAATTGTTCGTGTACAGTACAATAGCACCGAGGACGCGAGTAAAAGGGGAGAAGAAAAGGAGACACAAATCTACAAAAGAAAGCTCAATTTCACTCGAAATGACATGCATGTATGTGTGTGAGAACATCGTGTATGTGCCCCAGGTGACTCGTGCTTGTATCAATACTAATAAGTGAAGCCCACTCTTATCTGGTGCACGTAAGCGGTGGTGACAATTGTTTGTTTTTCTGGGATTATTAGTGTCACATGGATTAATTCTGTTTGACCAATTTGTTGGCAAATTTCATACAAAATAGCGTAGGATTGCCATCTGTATCCTAGCAGCATCTCACCTTTCTTTCTATCTCTCCTTCTCTAGGTGGTTGGTTTCACATATCGAGAATCATTACCACGAGCTCAACGACCGAGTGATGAATGACACACTAGACGAAAAAAATCGAGAAAAAGCACGCAGAGCTGCAATAATACAGGAACAAATGGACCAATCTTCCGCCGTCCTCACGAACAACATACATCACTCATCGGATCGGCCATCTAGTCAAAAGTCTCTCGTGTCTAGGACGTTTATACGAGAAGAAAGTTCAATAGATTTGCAGGAGCTGACCAATGATCGTCATCCGACCGGCGGCAGAAGTGGCGGTGGAATTCAGAGGCCAAATTTAGAAACCTTTAGGATGGACTCAGTTCCAAAGACAACTACAACGACAAACTACCTAATTAAATCTCGACCTAATAGTTCCCTTGGGGAGCAACATAACCCTTTCTTCCTTCAGAGAAATGTCTCCACAGCTCCAGCCGACAAAAGACGAAGCCTGCCAATTCTTCATCCAATAAGTGGAAAAAATGTGACGTTTGGCAACCGTTTCTTTCTACATGCACCGAGCAATAATGGGGGCAGCTCGCAAATGAGCGCCGCCATTGACCCATTCATGGTTGACGGCGGTGGCAAATTTTCTGCACGAGAAGCAACCCCCTCTGCTCCAATGTCCTCGTCGAGCAGTGGTGGTGTGAGCGCTGTCACGGGTCGACTTTCTCCAGAGGGTGCTGATTCTGATGAAGGAATTATCAATCACGCATTTGATGATAAGACTGAAACAGGTTTAAGCGAAGTAGCCAAATGCAACGGTATGATGACAGACACTCGAAATATTGTAATGATGCCAACCGTTGTGACTGATGACGCTCAACAGTTGCTGATCGAGACTGGAAATGAATTCCAGTTTCCTTCCCCGGACAAATTTAGAAAATTGGTGCGGACAGAGTCATCTGATACGGAAGTTAGTCAGGTTAGTGATACAACTTTGAATAGATAATAATGTTTTACAAACTGTACGTGATATTGAGATCGTCGTAGAGCATTACAACAACAAAATGTGTATGCTATTTAATAATGGTTTGCTACCACTGCACATGCCAACATACATACGCACATACATACATACACAGCTCATGACATGGTGTGGTGACACTCAGGGAAACTCGTCAATGCTTTTACTGTCGCATATAAAAGTGCAAACCGCAACAAAATCAAGGCTGTTGTGCCAGCCAGCCGACCGAACATTAAACAATTGCATTAAACTATGGCTTAATACAGCCCACTGCCATGGAAGATTACATAAAAATAAGCCAGCCAGCCAGCTATGCTGGTGATCCCAAAGCCAAATGCACATGTCAAGCGCTGTGACAAAGGGAAAGCGCAGAGACGGAGAAAAGGGAGGAAATGCAAGTTTGATGTGATGCTTTCGAGACGAGAGTGACAAGAATTGTTCGAAGCACTTTTCGCCCATAACAAACAACTATCTCATCATTGTCGTCATCGACGTAGGCTAGCGACCACCCAGCCAAAGGGGGAAGTGAATGTTGCTGTGGCGGTCTCACGTTACTGTTACTATGTCAAGAAGATTTTGAATGGGAGCACATAAAAGTCTGAGCTCATCATCAAAGCATGGAAATCGGTCTCATTGCTCTCATTTGTTTAGCCTAAAAGCGAGTATTTCTTTCTTTCTCCTTGTCTACCATTGCCCCTGAATGTTGCTTTCACAAAAGTCTGCTTTCTCCCAATAAATTCTCTTATAATATGACTGGGAATGATATAAATCATTTTTTCAGTATTTATTGTTGTCATACTTTCAAGCGAACATTTGGACTTTTTTGCGCACAACAGCCCATTCACAAGTATTATATTGGGAGTAAATCTGGCAAAAATCTGGAACCAATTGTTGGAAGAAGTTTCTCTGCAGACCTTGTGCAGATATTTGGCTATAAGAAATACAACCTTGTAAATGTTTACTTCTCTTAATCGCTGTATGCAGGCTGCAAGGAGGTTCTGTTGTAAAAATGATTTTCGTGTAAGCGTCATGGCGTGCTTCTCAGGGTAGAAAAATGACCAGTCAGCAAATATATGGCGTCGGTTAGAGAGGGATAAACCGAAGCAAATGCAACATGACTTGGGTATCCGGGGAAGAAGTAATCATCTGCGAACCTGTTGTACCCCACCATCGATCTGAGCCAATCACTGTCAACTCTAGTCCAATTTCGTTAACAAGATCTGGCTGTGAAAAGATGGTTATTACGTCGTCGTCGAATTGTGAGGTCTCGTACATACTGCAAGTCCACGAATTGATGTCATTATCAAACATAATCCAGATAATGGAAGTAGGACAGGCGACTATATAAATTTAGGCATTAGGTGATATACATGTTAGAGTTAGGTGATGTATGCGATGGCTTAGGAAGACTTATTTACACCAATCACATTTACCATTTTCATGCATCTTTTTTAGAGCCCTGGGTCTCGAATAATATAATAGTTTAGAATTTAATCAACCCTAATTTGCTCGAGAAAATAATAAATAGGCAGGAAATTACTCACGAGTATCAACAGACCGCGACAAATCTGGGAGAAGACAGGGTGCAGTACAATGGATTTTTTATTATGTTATGTTAGCATTTTAGGCTTATAAATTCATGATTGTGGTTTAAAATTTAACTTTGCCGTCTCATTTTGTTAGAATCCCATGGCCTTCACAAATTTGCAAATATATATGATTTTTATATACGAACATTTTCACAAAAAGTTACCAGTTAAAAATAAATAAAGTGTTCCCAAGATTCAAAAAGTTTCAAAAGTTGGAAATTATTCGAAAATCCTTGATTAATTTGGCGGCACGCCACGTGGCCAAATATTACTTTGGCCACAGTGGACGCAGAAATCCAGGGCCCATTGGATGCTGAAAAATATAATAGCTAGCTCGACTCCAACAACATCTCAATATAAATATGTAGATGATATATTTAACATGTTGGGATATGCAGAGCACAACTAAAAACTAATATTCTCACTGAAAACGCATTCATGCAAAACAGAAATTGCAAACTTTTTCCTTTCAACTTGAACAAATAAAACGACGAGTTGGTTGCCCAACCGATGATTCCAATTTTTCTGCTAGATCGTCACAAATCGAACTTGGTACATTTCATCGAATCACACTCTTACGAAATATAGGTATGTACACATATAGAAATCCTCGACCAAATGAACATCACATTACGCTAGGCCATTTTTTTTGGTTTAATGCTGGTTTGCCGAATTTACCTCAGTGGGTGAAAAACCTGGTTCGACATTTGCACTGATTACTTTTTTCATAACTACGTACATAATTTCTGCAAATGTTTTAATATTGAAAAGCACAAAAAATATCAGTCGTTTTGGGATATTTCTAGCTTTCCGAACTTATCCTGCACGTTTTCAAGGACATGTTTACACAATGTTTGTCTCTCCTTTCCGTGACAAGCTTTTCTTGTTGTTATATATCAGAAGATCCCAGTCTCTTCAAACTGATACGTCGTTGTCGTATCCAATCAACACCTACTTGTTTACCAAGAAAAGAAAGCAAATCGGTTTATGTTTACTTCGATACCTTGCTCATCAGTTATTGCCATCTGCTCGTAGTCAGTTCTCCTACTTATTCTTTTGTATTTTCATTCGCAACTCGGGCCCAAACTTCGAGCTAAGTAGTATCATCTTAATTTTACTATTTTTACTATATCGATCTTTACGAAATTTGTTATTCTTTCAACGCAGATTTCCAACAGTAGCAATACCTCACACTTACATAAGTACTTATTTTATTTTTACAGAGGGCAGGGGAAATTCTAATGGTAACCACGCTGGCTCAAGTTCACCAAGATGACATATCGTCAACATATCGGGGCCGGAGAGGTTCCACAACGTCCACCCACGATTCCGTCGCTTTATCTCTCTCCTCATTCAAGTCTGAGGATACCATGAGCGTCATGGAAGGTTGGCGAGATGAGGACGAGACTCAATCACGAAGTAAGCAGAGTCACGTCACGAATAGCAGAGGGACGACCCCACCCACCTACGCAGCTCCGCAAAACCACTACCACCACCCTTACTCCCAGCTAGGAGATCCCGTCAAGTCTAAAGGTAAGGCTCCAAGAGAAAACTACCACCGAACCTTCCTTCCAAAAGGTGAGACAAAGGCGCTTGTTGGACGATTATATAACTCCATGCACTTTGTGCTAAGATAACTTCAAACGTGGAGAGCATATGGTAATCAGGTTTTAGCAAATGTGTAGCCTAAAGCGGGTTCTTGTTTCACTTTCGTTTTTAGACAAGGAACAAAAATCCAGGTTGCGAGTGGGCAAAGGGAAAAACAAGACGGCTCCATTACCTGAGATGACTATTTCTACTATTTCTTCTCAAACCCAACCAGCGTCCACCTCCACCGTGGCGAACACCTCTTCCTCTGCACCGTTAAAAACATCAGCCAACAGCGGTAGAAATAACCATGCGATGCCCTTGAATAGTAGAAAAAGTCGTGAAAATGTTTTCAATGCCGGTCCTGCTGGAGGACCCGGAGGAACGAGTAAATTGAAGAAGAAAAGTGGCTTTTCAGATTCTCTAGAGACCAACTCCAGCTCCCAATTTGCTAGAAGACCTCAAACGGTTCTACCGCCGCAAACAACCAGCAGGACGACAGATTAAAAAAATATTGGGGAGACCCATTCGCCTCCCTTCTGGCTGTATGTGTCTCATCTGAATTCTGAGATTGACGGTTGTACAACCAGATCCAAGGTATTTCGAGCGAGGAGAAAGTGGAGATGGAGAAAGTGGATCCAATCCAGAAGCGAATAATACGTTTTGTAGGAATAGCAAGAAGCGAGGGCTGCAATGCAATATTTAGAGGCAATATTGATACGCTTCTTCTTTACAGGTGACACAATAGTGTGCAGTACTTACTTCTTTTCAAACGTGCCAGATGGGTGTTATATGCATAAATAATTTCGTGTTTTCTACGTGTTTCGAGCGCCAGATTGGGGCTCGAAAGCTACATTATTCAAGAGGAGAGGCAGCAAGGTGGTTAATGATAGTAATGCTCTTTTGCTTACACTTTTGCAGTAATTTCTCCTTCTCGCCTTTCAAAGACGAACAAAAGCTGACTGTGTCATCAAATAGAATAATATCCGCGAACAGGCTGCATAAGCCAAATAAAAGACTTTAGTACGAGAAACAAAGGCGATTAATTTTCTAAATGACATTCTTTTTTGCATTCTTCCTTTAGTTTCATCATATACGAAATCCATACTGATAAAAATCTCGTATCAGTGTAAGAATATACCATCGAAATGCAGTGAGAAATTACATAATAGCAATAATAATCAGTAACGTGAGACAAGTCTTAATCCCTATTAAATACATGTAATTATTCATTAGTGAAGCTTAAATTTTGTTCCATGCGAAATAAGTACTGAAATTCAGTAGAAACCTAATGTAAATAGGTAATAAATAAGATGTATGAGTACAAACGCTGCTAAAATTGGAAAAATTGCACATTTTGTTAATATTTTAGATTATATATATCTATTTGTATATAATTTATTTTTACTTAAGAACTCCTGAGTAAATAAAAAATATGTTACTTGATTCAAAACCAGAGTACAGATGCATCACAACTCTTGTATTCAGCGATTCTAATTTATTGGCTTAATTATAGTGTTCAAATTGAAATGTTACAAAAAAAGGAAAAATACACTTAGTATTTCTTTTGAAATCCCATTTTCTAGCTTTCCATCAACAAATCAAGAAATTATTTCATAGAAAAGAGTGCATAATGAGCAACTTTATTGCGTTGTGGTAGTCATAAAAGTCAAACTTGAGTCTGATGATAATTCTTTGAAAGCCGCTTGATGACTAATTGGGGTTTCACCATCAATTTAAGCCAATTATCCGTATTATATCGGACAATGGGGTTCTTTGGATAGCATATTTACGAAATTTACTACATACTCCAAACTACTTTTGGATATAAATTTCAAAAGAAATTGTATTCACCAACAAGAAAAATATTTACATGATCCTGAAGCCAGTGCCCATCAACACCAAATTGTTAAAAGCCTCTTCATATGAACTTGACTTACAAAATGCAATCCAATTAAGCTCTATATTCCTCACCCGGAGTTCCATGAAACTGGATTAAAAAGTCTGACGACTTTAATTCATTCGGCTTACTCGTGACTCCTAACAAACAAACTGACTGACTGCGTACTGAATTTGAGTATCTAAAACATTCATGATTCTGAACACAAACCTGAGTTTTAGTTGGAATTAACCTTGACAAAGTCTTAAATTTACCTTTTAATCTGTTTAACATTGCATCGCAGAGTTCACTTGAAGTTTATGTTTCAAACAATTCAGCTTCGCCCACACTAAAGTCAATATTGATGCGCCTGACACACACAGATTTCATCAAGGTGTCTTGTTTTTGCTAATTTTGCATGGAACGTCACTTCCACAAAGTGAACTTTGTGATAAGTCAATTGTGGCAGGTATGTGTGGATCAAATTTAGTACAAGGTCGATTGCAAAGGTTAGTTACAATTTGTACGTATTCAGTAGTGGATTCGACAACATTGTGCTTTCAGAAACCAATAGATTATGAAGTTCATACTAACGTTCTATTTGTAATGAGGAGAAAAATAAAATGATGTCGAGTATGTTTTTGTTTTTCAAAGTGTTTCGAAAAACGTCCGTATTAGATTAGCTAAAATTGACGTATAAAAATACTCACAAAATTAGGAGAAAACACGTGGAGGGTCTGCTGATGAGTTTCGAGATTATTATTCGAATTAAAAGCTATTGAAATGGCTTAATTCCATTGCTCAATTACACAGCACGAGAGTTTCCTTATATCCTCAACTACGTATTATTTCTAAACTTGACATGATATAGTAATTTACCAAAGTTGAAGGTAAAATGACGTATTTCGACGAACCCAACCGCAGATTTTTGTTTCTAAACTTCGTGAATTGGCCCATATTGCACTCAATGAAGCACAGTACAATTTCCATTATTCCAAGGTAAGTTGCAAATATATGAGTCCTGTTATTCTGCCAAACTTACCTGCTACAAGTTGATCATGCAAATAACGAAACTGTAGTCTAAATTCCAGCATAAAAAAAATATTTCAAAATTTATTAATTTATGGTAAATAGATCCCGATTGAGACCCAAAAAATGTGCAATCTCCATCTCCACCATCTCTCATATTGTAAATTATTCTAGATAAAGAAATGTTCGACGTGGACAAATATAAATTGGCAAGTCTTTGAATGTCACTCACATCACGGGGAACTGAAGAATCGTAACATCGTGGCACTTTCGCAAGCTTGTCTTGTTTGCAGACTAGGAATTTTGCAAAGTGCACAAAAGTTGGGTTCCTTCGTGTAGAACGTGGACCCAGACCTGTCTGTAGGCTAAAATGCTGATACTGATCGGAATAGTGATCCTTGCCGCATACTAAATCAACGCGAAAATGTAACAGTACTCCGTAAGTCCTTTCATGTTCATGCTGTTGAATGTATGAGAAAAACCTGGTGAAAATGGATTCTTTCCATACGCCTTAATTTCGTCAAATTGAAATTCTTGCCTCATTCTTCCTTTGAAAGTATTCCTTAAGTGGAAAAGTATGTTTGTTATGCCGAATTCGCGAAAAAGGCAAGTTCTACAGGTAAAGCGTAAAGTACGCAGAAAAGGGTAGGCATTCAAGTCACTTCGCAGAAAAATTTCCATTTCCTCCCGTCTCATCATTCGTGTAGATCTTTTTTATCCTGGCATGCGAACCCAAACATTACGTATCATGAAAAGGTCTTTGAGAAGAAAGGATGGACCCAGATGGTGGGTGGCACTCGTGTCAAGCGAAGCTGTACTACGGCGTCTGCAAAGTAAACTTTGAGCGTGTAGAGAAAGTGGGGAATCTGGGAAATGACTTATTGTTTTTGATGTTACCAAGTGCTTGGCCTGGAGGTTAACATGCAAACTCATCTTAATTCCTACGTCAACTCAACCTGGGAGCACTAATCCATTTTAGAGATTAAGTTTCATGGAGAATTAATGTGCATTCAAAAAGTTTACACCCGCCCGACCAGCGCTTGCGGCATCATTTAAATTAGCCGTACATACATACGACGCAACAAGAATTAAGCCTGTTACATTATGTGAACAAAATGGCCCAGTTTCTTTTTACATTGTTTTGAAAATAGTTATATTTTGAACTAACGAGCCCATTACAAAGATTTCTTCTCGGATACGTTCATTTGTTTACTAAATACGTAGAAATTACTTGGTTGGAAAAATTTACTCTGGGAACTATTGATTAATAAAACCCCTTGTATTAAATTAAAGGATATACTTAAAATAGTCCTCTACGAGTCTATTTTTTTCCTAAACAGTCTTCCGCACTTTAAAATCTGGAGAATAAGCGATTTCATAGCACGTAGCATCCGGTTCCATTACGAAGAAGAAGCACAACCTTAACTCTTTTTACCACTTACTGTCAACTTTAATGCCCTCGACTGCAAACTGTTGTCTTGCTCTGTGAAATATATAGTAGCGCATTTTCATCTCTGCAATTACATGGATGCATCTGCAAGTTGTTTTGGTGCAGTGATGTACAGAAGCCAAACCAAACCCCACTAATGTCTCGTGGCGGATTATGCTTCTTTACAGTCCCATTTAAAAAAACTGTTTAGCGGAAATGATAAAGTAGACTGCTCTTAAATCTTCTAAGCAAATATTATAAACATTTCAGAAGTTTCCTACAAAACCGAGAGGATCTTAACACCCGCAATTTTGTTATTTGAAACAGATTGACACGGCTGAAAACGTGGCATGTATTTTTATGTATATTTACATGCATAGGTATGAAAATGTTGTTATTTTTGTTATGCGAATATGGGAACCACATTTAGAGACTTGGAAATATTTGCTAATTGCGAGAATAAACCTTAATTAGAGTTGTGAATAAGCAGATGCATTCACAAATGTTTATCTCCCTCAAGGACAACTCAAACATGTCAAGTTGTCCCTGTACACTAGGAAAATTGGACAAGTTGTTGCGAAAGTTAAGGAAGTGGGAACGAAAATGTTTGTTAATTCTGTAAGTAGTGTACATCTGCCAGTGCCAACTGCCATCACACTGATGTAAAATGAATAAATAATTGGTTGTCTAAAGTCCAGACTAATTTCTGAATAAACTGAAAACTAGCGATGTTTTTATGCAAGAATTTCACGATGATTTCGCAAAGAAACAGTTGCAAAATTTCAGTAGAATTCTTGTGCAACTTACACGGACGAATTTGACAACAGAAGAGACAAATAGACAATACAACTTTAAGCCATAAAGCATCAAACAAATTAAAACTCACTCAACCAGCACCTGTCCGTGTAATCTCATTGTGTTGCCTGAATATGTTGCTTCTTAACATTAGGAGAAAGCACCAGCAGGGAGACAATCTCAAATTTCAAGTTTCTCAAAGTCTGACTTGAAGTATTTATTTCGAGCTGATTAACTGACGTTTGATTGTAGTGTAAGGAAGGCTAAGGAAGATGTCTCAAAGATAAGTACTTGAAAATGTGGTGGGTAACTTGTCCTCTTTTAGGTCTGCTCAACTTTGTCACTTTTCCCTTTTAGCCGCTCCTTCAACCAACTAACCTCGACAAGGCATCTAACAAGTGCGGTGAAAGCAGACTCTTTGAAGAAGATCCAGTCAGCTAAGTCAACACACAGTTGCGACAAATGTGAGGGGAATATATGTACCAAAAACCATCGTCAGTAATCTTCCGTCCTCAAAGATATACCATGAACACTAAATGAAGCGTTAGTGATTACCATCCTTTTTTGGAATTACAAATAATCACAACCCGCAGAATGAAGTAGAGACTGGTTAAGCTGGAGGTCGGGCGGTCGGGCCTCAGATTAGATTTCATCACATATTGAAGGACAGGGCAAGCACATGACGAGTGGAATTACTGTTGGATTCCTGAGAGCAAAATCCTAGCCTTTAGGGAAAATTGGCATGTGCTGGTGAAAGTAAGATTTGCTCATTTATTAGACCCCATTCATCCGTCTGGATTTTCCCCCTTGAACACACACACGTGCACGTTAGTTGCGAGTGAATGGGTGCATAAAGGTAATTTTGAGGTTTCTGGCATCGAGGGGAATTAAAGATAGAGCATTATCACTTCATCAAAAGGGAACTTTTGAGTTTGAATTTTCTCATGTCGAAAATGTATTTCAACAGCTACCGAACGACTGACTGCTGCAAATCCGTTTCATAAAAGTAATACCTCCTCTCAAATTACTAGTTACTAATGAAAATGTTATTTTCCTTTTTATTCTCATTTTCGAATTTTTCCATCTAAAACTTGTCTGATTTGTAGGAGGAAGTTGATTTCCCATCACGACTTCAATTATTTCCGACGAGGAAGTTGTTTAAAATATGTTAATTCTCAAAATTACTTTATTACAATTTTATAATACGTGCATGGCTGAGGAAAGTGAGATACGGAGAAAGCTGTGGCAATGAAAGCTGTAATGTAGGCATATGGACCAACATATCCTTTGGACAACCAACCGAGGAAATTTGCATACACAAGTCCCAGATGGTACTAGACAGGAGTATTGAGTGCTTCTTGCTCCAATTCGTTCGTAACAGTTGCTGCTGAACGAAAAGAAAGTTGAATTTGCGTTCATTGAAATAATTTGTTCCTTTCATACAAAGCTACAAAGTTCACAGGCAGTCCCACGAGCAGACCAGTCTTTTGACCATTAAAAGTTAAATGAAAAATGCTGCAGAAACAACTTTATTCTGATTCTGGTTCAATCGAGGAAGCAGGAAACGTAGAAGAGAGCTCACTCACTCGTACGTAGCACGTATTATTATTTTCCAGATGGATTATTCTCACCGACTTTCTCCTCTTCTGAGGTACGTGAAACCAGGTTCCTTTAATCTTTGATTCCTATCAAGGACCTTATTAATTCCAATGCTTCAATAATTTCAATTTTCCAGCCGACTGACACGTCTCTCTCTATTCTGCTAAAGGAATACATTAATTTTGTCGACACTAATCCTCTCAAATTTGAGTCGATTATAAACTCCCAAGCCAACCTGCCCTGACTGTTTTCAGAGCAATCCAATCGAGTTGAGAAGTATCAAGAGTTAATATCCTCAATTAATTATCTGCTTTCATGCTTCGACAAGTGAGACAGGTCCCAATCTCAATCATTCCTCCTTGCAATCCAATTCCTCCGTAATTTAAATGCACAAACTGAGAGCTTGTAAAAGGCGAGCGACACATTTTTCTGTCCTTAATCTAATAAGTTGGTCTCTATTTTCGAGCTGTAAATTATGGTCGCTTGAAAGGTGTTAGATGGAAATATGTCAATTAATGAGATAAACATTATTCTTGTATCGGATCTACTTTACTATTCAAAATGCAAATCTTTTATTCAAGAATCAAATCGTAATGCAAATCTTTTTTGCACTTACGCATTTTCCAGTTGGACTTGTTTTTCAATATTTTCCATTATTTATGACTGATGTGCACGTGGTATAATAAACATTCTTTTCCCTTTCTTCTTTAGGATTGAAGAATAAAGATGTGAAATTCATGAAGTGAAAATTTGTGATCTGATTTTACTTTTCCGTTATTCTCAAACGCAAATGCTTCCAAGGGATTCTGTCCACAATTGGATTTTCTTCACACCAGACGATTTCTAGAATCTTAAATTTGGGACATTTGAATGTAGCCCGATGCTGAACAACTTTCGTACTTTTTTTTCAACCCACGTAATAATATGTCTGTATGCATGTCTACGGTGGAACTCTCCCCAAAAACCTCTGATATAACCGAATTAGTTTGTTCAACATGGAAAGTTTTTATAAAACTCAAAGTTAAAAAGTTTTGAGTTGTTGGATGAGGTTGGATATCGCTCAACAAGTTGAACCGTGTAATTTATCCGTTCAAACTACGTAGATTCATTAATTTGATAAGCTCCGGCATTAAATAGAAATATAATACGTCAACTTCCACTTATGCAATTTGTAGGATCTGTTTTGGCATGAAATACATCTAAAATATGGAGAACATCCTTTTCATAACATAATCATATACTTCTCGGAAACAGGCCAAACACTTGGACCCGAGCCCCGTGATACATACATTGATCTGCCCAAAGTTTAAAACTTTATAAACTCAACCATGCAAATAAGGCCTTGCATAATTGTGAACTGACATTGCTCTTCCACCATTATTATTATTATGCTGTCCCCATTGTATTGAAAGTTGTTCTCTTTTCATGTCTCCTATTACAATATCAATTCTTTCTAATGGATTCCGAAATTCTAAAGCAGTAATGTTCCTGAATAAGGAACTTTGGATTTATTTTTTTGTATCTCAACTTCGTAGAGCCCTGTGTTCTGGCATAATAGGATGACTATATATACATACATATGTAGCCGTCTATGCATCTCGGTGGTATATTTAATGAGTCAATATTCCGCACGATGAGTTCTGGTTTCTCACAGTGGGACAAAATTGCAATTGGTGCATGTTTTCAGTAATGGGACGCCGTGTGCTAAATCAACTGTGACAACCAGGTCTTCTGATTAGAAAGGAAATATTTAACGTACCGTTAGAAGATCTTCTGTGAACTTATTTTACCAAAGGAAGAGGACTTGTCTGCAGCAACGTCCGTCAGGGAGCAAGTTATGGATATCCAGCGGGGCAGAAAAGCTCGAGATTCGAGAGACTCTCCAGTTCCTTCTGCTCCAGAATCTCTCCTGTTGGATAACAATAAGGGTTTGTTAGAGACATTTCAGACCGAGTCAGATTCAGATGGCACTTTTCTAGTTAAATCGTCATATTTATTGGCTAAGTTGCGTTAGGGAAATATTGTCGATAAATTGGAACTTTTCCCCCTCGCTAACGTATTTAGGCAGAAATAAATTTGGGAAACGGAAAGGACGCGAAAGTTGGAGAAAGTCCACCGTACTAACTGCCAAACCTTATTTGGTGTATTTGTTCCTATCTCAACCACCGAGTTGGAAGAATGAAAAGATGTGGAATTTTCCAGGTCCGAATTTGATATTGCAATGCATGTTCTAAACGAATGCCTGACAAATATTTTTGTCCTCTCAAATTCAATAAAGTTTGTTGTATGCATTGGTTATTTGATAAACAACAATTTCCATAAAGTACAACGAACGACTGATCAGTAATGACCTTAGATACACTGTCAACAACGTTAATAATAGAGGACAAGTCATTCAAGTGATGAGCTCTAATCCTACTAAATAACCTATCTGGTGATCCTAATGATTTTGTATTTGCTTCACCTTACCCGGAATTAGAGTTGATTTTTTATAAAGGAAGGAAAGAAAGGAGCAATCGTGCGATGTGGAGTTGATGGTCAAAGCTTTTAATAATTCACTAACCACTTTCTTCCTGTTCCTACTTTACGATCCTCTGAAATTCCGTATACCACAAAAATGAATGCTAACTTGGCTTCTCGAAAAACCCTTTCCTTAAAATGAATAGAGTTTTCAGTATACAAATTCAACTCGGATTTCGTCTACTCGAGTGAGATTGGAGAAATTGCAAAAATCTCGTCGCCCAATATTCCCTGTGGTGTTTGTTGGGAATAGGGTCAAATTGCTTGAGATTTATCCTGTGCAACGAAGGATGAGATTGGTAGTCTTGATATTTGAGGAATGCTATTCCGAAAGAGACAATGTTTTACAGAACGTACAGCCTGTTGCTCACTCCTAGCGATCTGGCGACCGAGTAGTCATCTCCGTGAAAATGTACGCTATTCATACCCGTTTTCTGAGTCTCAGGACCAAAACCAGGACCGTCTCAACAACGCAGCTCCACAAGTATTAGCTTTCTCGCAAGGATTTCAGCTTGACGCAAACTCGCGTACTTCTTGCCCGTTCTTGAACCACGTACATCCATGGGGGGACGAGAAAGAGAGAGAGAGCAAATACCATAACTTATTAAGAATGTTTTGCAGAATTTCAGTCTTCTGTTTTCATCTTTAAGTATAAAACTTAATGTTGGGCGAGGTTGGTGACAAAACTTCATATTTTGAAATGCTCAGGGTCACTGTGACGGCTTCTTTTATGCTGGGGCAAATGCTACCTCGTAAAATAATGAAAGTCCCCGAACGACAGACATAAACATTTCCTGGCCGAATCTTCATCAAATGTTTTGCAGCAGCCGCAGCACATGTGGAAGACATTCTACGCGTCTTTCTGTATGTATTTATGAATGTATCTCTCCGAAGGAAGTAGACAGCGTTGGAAAAGAGGACGCTCCTCCGCCCACTTGGAAAACATTAAACACGAAAAGTGTTTACTTTGTTAAATGTATTCGCTCAACGGTAGGGTCATGATTAATAATAAAATTGTGTATATCGTGCATGAAAATATTAATGATAATAATCTTGTCTTATTTTTGGGGGGAGGGGTATCATAAATAGCTTTGATTTGCGTGGTAGTAATACGCAAATAGTTTGTGTTGTTTTTTCATTCCAAGTTCTGAACAATTATAATTTGATGGCTCTATTTGAGGACAGATGGATGTCTTGTTATTTATAATTTGGAATAATTCTATATACAGAAACTTTTTTTTTACCTTGGTTCAAACTTTGAGTTCAAATGTCATTTCACTTTCAGAGTGAATGTAATTTTATGGTTTACAGAAATGTGTGCGTACATTAATTGAGTTTTGTAAAAAAAAGTTCAGATTGTATGTATTATAAAAGACAATTATAGAAAGGAATCGAATCGAAATTAAAACGGGAAACTTTTTTTCTGGAAATTACAAATTTATGAGTTTAATTTTTATAAGCAGTGCCAGCCAAATGTCAAGGATATTCTGTCTGTATCTACACTTACGACAAAAAAATTAGAGTTAAAAGAAGCAGCGTGTTGATGTTTGTCAAATTATGATTAGAGGTTGGCAGAGATCATGGGTCTTCTCGAGTCGTTATAAAATTCGTGTAAGCCTTAAATTACGACATACGGGTTAAGAGTCTTTTTTTCATGCGAGGCACATTCGACACACTTTTCTCATCCCAAAGACACAGAGACCCAAAGACACGCCAAATTGAAATTCAGAGTGGCACGCAAGTTATAGAGCTCGGATCAAAGTTTAAACTTCTTAAGAATATTAGAATGTATTAAATTGTGAGATGTTGTGAAATGTCAAATATTAATAATTTACGAGAGGAGAAGCTGTCTACAAATAACCTCTCAGTTTGCGGTAATCTAAAAATAAACTTTCAACTGGAAATTGATACATATGCAAATTTGTGCTTCCAGTAAGAGCCTCGATAAATGAAAACAAATATATGCGTGGGAGTTCTGTGCTGACTTAGAAAGCAAAATCCATAAAAATATTTCCGATAATATTTCCTTGATGATTAATTTGATGTTTTGAGACCTGTTGCTGAGAGGGGGAGCGTGGCTGCAAGTGAGTTGGATGTGTTTGTTTCTGGCATGAAAAGCTTTTTATTCTGCTAAAATAACCGTATCTTGATTCCATTCTCAGTAATTCGAACTTTTCAGTGTAAACATTCGTCTAACTTACATATTCAAATTCGTACTCAAGTAAGGAACATCATCTACAAAATTAATACATCTAGTCCCTCTAATTAATCGGTGATTTAATTTTAGTCGAATATTGTATTTCACAATTTGTTCCTTTATAGAAAATGAATTTTGCGAACTAGGCAAGTGATACTTTTGAATACTAATGAGTTGTTGTGCACCTTACTGTATACATATTTTGGTTTTATGGTTTCTGAGGCACAAAGAGTTATCATATTTCAATTTCATTTTAAATCATGATATAAACAATGCTGTCGTTCGTTTGAGTTATGTTCATGTAGGAAATACAATATTGTCCTGTCAATCGTCATAAATATGTACATTCATACGAATATTTGTACTACTGCGTAACTACGAGTAAAGTGAGTAAAAATATGCAATAAAAATGAGAAAGGACATAAAATCGAAAATTTTCTTGGATTAATAATGTTCAATTTATTTCTTCCTTGCGTCTATATTACATAACAACAATTCAAAATAAATTCAAATCTAGACAACGCTTACCTAACAAATTACACTTTTCACACGGAATTTTACACAAATTGCACAAGTTTTCATATAGTGATGGGATTCATAACAAACAAAAATATACAAATTGAAAGATGCTTCATTCATGATTATTCGTGTAAATTGTCTTATATAACATTTCACTCTCAACTTAATTGTAATTTAACGTGTGACTGGAGACATTGACTTTTCACAACGGATGAATTAATAACAAACAAACATAAAGCAGACTTCAAGGAAAGTGCAGGAAATTGAAAGGGGAACAATTGGAAAACATAAACACAGATGATATTTTCAACATTTTTTTGTTTAGTATAGATTTTTTACATAACATAAAATTATGTAGCTTAACATAGCGTCAAATTTTAGAAACTAGCAGATAACACGGGTATGGATTCGAATTCAACTCTCTATTTGAGTACTCGTATATAGAAGGACACAAAAAATCGAAAAATAGTGAGTACACTTAATACTCTGGAAAGTAGAAGTAAATAAATCTTGAAAGTTTGGCGTGGGCTGATCCCGAGAATCTTTCTTTTTGACACTGTGATGTCATACAGTGACGAACACTGTAAATATCTTGCAGGTGAAAGGAGGAAATGTGTGGGGAATAATTCTATAACAACAAGCAAGTAAGGAAATAAAATGCATAAATATTGCTTGCATTGTTAATGTGATAATAATACGAGTAATAATTGTAAGAATAACACTATTTAATAACACTAATAATACCAAATAACTATGTATAAAGACTTATTTAATATACGTCGTCCTTAACTCATGATAGTTCAAAATTTGTAAAAATAAATAAAGCATGTATCATTCGTATGTACTATTTTATATAATTATACTTGATCTAAAGTACTAAATACTGACTCGGACTGGGATATTGTTACGGATTTAGTAAGTTAAGTAATGCCTCACGAATCGATGTAGAAAATGCCACGCTGGTGGTGGCATAAATTTGTCCTTTTATTCCCAATTGATTCAGGTTTCCATTAAAATTGTAGATACGTGATAGTAATTCTTTGCTTAGTTAATTAACTGTATTAAAGCACAAGCTCAAGTAGTTTTTTTGATAAAACCTCAAACATATTGTTATTTTCCTAAACTCCGTCGTAGTGGAGGTGAGACGGTAGGAGAAATTTTGAGACGGTGTACAATGCCTGAGCATACCAGTGGACTCCTTGGTCACCCAGGACGTCATCTTCTTCTTGTAGACCACCACCAGTGTTATCACCAGACTTGGAAGAACTACTACTAAAGCGCGCACTACTTTCCCTCTGGTGATGATGATGATCTTGATTCTGGTGGTGGTCGTGGATATCATTATTGTCGTCGTGATGTCTGAACGTGATGAAATGACTGAACTTTCTCCACGCGTAGGAGAGTCCTTGAACAAAGTTGTGCGAGAGTCGTACAGGGAGGAATACCCAGTGGTCCAGCTCTTGGTCGTCAATCACCGCGTAGCACGAGGATAACACGCCATCCACGATTAAATTGCCCTCCGACGTAAGTGGAGCATAGACACCTGTTTCCACCTTTGCCGACATGTCGACCACCTTCTCAATGCTGAAGTAGGAAGAGGATGCTTCTTGCGAGGAGGCATTAGAGTGGAAAACCAGCACCCAATCCCCGATTTGGACAAATTTAGCAAAACTGACGACAGCTTTATCCAAAAACATTTGTCCCGTTTGGTTGGAAAGGATGAAACTGTTGGGCTTGAACAGGAATAGTTCCTCGGGAGTCAAGGACTCGGGTTGCACGGTGTATATTAAATGTGACGGTGTCAGAGTGATAGATTTCCCAGAGGCGGTGCGGAGCTGGAAAAATTCTCGTGTTTCCGTTCGATTTCTATCCAGAAATAGCAACACGTCACTAAAAACTTGTTGGCCATCAGAGTTCAGAGACATGATTTTGTCTCCGATTCGTATGTCGGATATTTTCCTGGGTCCTGATGGGGTTTCCACTGTCGAGTTACCACTAAAGCACCCACCCGTCCGACCAACTTGTGTCGAGTCTGCAATTCAAAGAAAACGAGAATAAATTAGTTTTCGTGTTTCCAATCATTTTACTGTGTTCATCTGCACAGCAACAACCTTATGTTGCATAATATATTTGCATAAACGTGTATAATGACTATTTACAATAACTTGTTTAGCCAAAGCTGTTTGTGTCCACTTGATTCTCAAAGTTTATGTGGTCATACATACCATGAAATAATTGGATTAAAATAAAGTCATGGACCTTCCTCAACCAACCATTATTTCTCTTAAATTTATTTTAGAGTTAAACTGGAACAAAGAGCTTTTAAATATTTGCTGCATCCTCAAAGTGCAAAGACCGACCACCAAACCACCGGCTTTTCTTTGAGTATAATTTGAAAATGCATATTATTATTCAGCAAGAAACTAAGAAAGAGACTGAAGAAAAGTATGTCTATGGACGACAATGGTTGACAATTTTCATATGAGAAATACTAATGTTTTTCTCGTAGGTGGCTGACTAGCGGTTGAAATGCGAGTAGGAAAGGATGCAGGCTAAAGATTGGCACCCAAGTTTTATGGCATGTCTTGTCCAGAACGTGTCTTTGCATAATGAGTCAGTGCTTAGCGTTCAGTCCATTACGTCCAATTTTCAATTGACTGTCGCCCATTTGTCGCCAAGTGTATTCTTGCATTAACCTCAACTTAATCTTTTCGAAAGTAAATAAATCCAGTCAAATCCTTTACAATCTTAACATCACCTGTAATCAACCTGTTGTATAGACTACCTAGTGCGTACACGCATTCTCAACTCTTATGTACATCGACTCGGATACTTTTCCTTCTTCTTCAGTTTGGTTGCATTTCGGATCTCACATTTCATCGAATAAGTAATTGACAAATATCATCCTCGACAAAGGAAAGGGATGCAATTTGACAACATTTATTAGAAAAAAGTGCTATTAAAACCAAACCTCATCTTTCAAAAAGACAACAAACAAATTATTCCGTATTGACTTTGACATTCAGAGTTGAATAATAACAAAAGATGAGATCAAGATCAAAGTTATCGCATCCAACGAGTCTATCACCATATATTTACTATGTCATCATATCACTATATTACTAGCCCTGCATATAATACCAGTGTTAATAATCCGCTGTAAAAGCATACATACCAATGTAATGGGCAAATAGACAAACGTGAGCAACAAACAACGTGCACACACAGGAAGAAAGAAGTGAAATAGAAGAGATGAGTAAATAAATAATCAAATTTAGAGATGCCGACTTGAAAAATTTTAAAAGCTCGGACGGGATTTGGTGGTGCCCACTTTATATTTTACCTTCTTCTTCATCATCAAGAAACCTCAAGTGCTGCTGCTTTGCAGTTTGCGGCTTAATGACATTCCTCATCATTCCTCCCTTGAGCCATAACCACTTGCCACAAAAGCCACACCGGTCCTACTCACTTACTTCAGGACTGACTCAACCTCTCAAAAAGCCAATGGACAAATTTAAAAGCAATCAAGTAGCTGTTGACTTTTGTGAATGATGACACAGACCGGAAATGGCTTTAAAATGTGGGTCCATGTTTGTCACGTCAATTAACAGTTGGCTATGTCTTCTGGCCCGAAGGAGCGCAGGAGAGCGACTCCACTCCACCAACAAAAATGGCCAATTTGTTTCCTTCTCACCTCCCCCACAAACAATAAACATAAATCCAAGGAAAGACCCGACGTCGCCTAAAATTTGTTTGCATACATGCAGTATAATTTGTTTTACAGCTGCTGCTACTTCTGCTCCTTTGCTGACATGAGTAGTATAACCAAGAACAAATAGCGATCCTATAATTCAACACATAAAATATGGCAGCGGAGAAGAAGAGGCTGTTCTGTTGTTTGCAACTGGAAATTATTTGTGAGGACAAGCTGCATTTGATGTTAGGCATACAACAGTTTACGATGGTTTGGTTGAACTTTAGCGTGAAATGTAATCTTGAGCATACAAAACGTCCAATAAACTTTTCACTTTCCTACTTAGTGACTAGTCAATTACGATGAATTTTGATTTGGTCAGCGCAGGAGGAGATGAATTTGCTCTTAGCACCTACCTGCTACAACAATCACGTAACTTAATCCTTTTCAATGAAATAAATATAAAGAGCCAGCCACCCTCGCTGACTCTCTCGACAACACTTGACGAAGAATCTCGTATGAGATCTCAAAATAAATGGGAACCTGCTGAATGAAGGCTGCATACGTACTTTGAGCTGTTTAGTGGATTCTTGAGTATGCGATTCAATTTTAAGTTAACTGACTGAAGCCACTGATGAAAACCTGAAAAAAATCTGCGCCCTCATCTCATCCTTCTTTAATGAGTCAAATAATGTCTTATTAGGAAAGAATTGTCCCAACTTTCACATTGTTCCTGCCAAAAAAGGAAATAGCAAACCTCGCGACGACACGCGGATTAAATGAAAGAGATTAATCGCGACTAAATGGTGGATCTCTAGCCAAGTGATTAATCTCCGTGAAATTTTTTATCGCTTCCACTCACTTCTTATTACGCTCACACTTGTTAGATTCGTGTCTGCGTCTAGTGTTTACTGACTTTGTACGTATCATATCCATGCATAGACGACTTGACTCTGAATTCCATGCCTCGCTGAGGAGGGGAGCTTGCGAGGTTGATAATAACAGATCTCGATGCCCTTTGGATATATGATAGGGTCTCATGAGTGTACTAAAACCCTGAAGTGGTTTGACTCCATGGCCACATTTGCGCCCGCCACACCCACTCAAAAATGCCCAAAAAACGCTTTCACTCCAGTTTTCACTCACTCAAATCCACACAAGAAATCCAATTTTACTCGGATTTTGAAATTTCTTTCACCATTACGCTCCCAGATAGTTGCTTTCTTCAATTCCATATCAAACTCAATTTTGCTGATGATTATTTCGCAGGCGTAATTTGAGTTGTTGATTACTACAACAATGCTCATTCAGAATTTTAAATTTTAAAAATACTAATAATTTCGAAAATATTGAGTTTGATATCGAATTGAAGAAAGCAACTATCTGGGAGCGTAATGGTGAAAGAAATTTCAAAATCCGAGCAAAATTGGATTTTTGGCGTGGATTTGAGTGAGTGAAAACCGGAGTGAAAGCGGTTTTTGAGCATTTTTGAGTGGGTGTGGCGGGCGCAAATGTGGCCATGGAGTCAAACCACTTCAGGGTTTTAGTACACTCATGAGACCCTATCACATATCCAAAGGGCATCAAGATCTGTTATTATCAACCTCGCAAGCTCCCCTCCTGAGTTCACCCCACAACAAAAGACTCCAACAATACGATTAAATGTGCATTTATCCACTTCACTTGAATTATTAAATTATCTCAGCCCTGCACTATTTCATTATTCGATATGCAATGTTTAAAAAACATGCATTTTTTTAGCCAGCCACGCCACGCCACATTACGTGGTGAATTGTTTAATCCTAATGTGAGACTTTGAGTATAAATAAATATGTCCTTTTCAAGGAGGAATGTGTGTGTAGAAAAAGAATCTCATTTTTGTGTATACATGTATTTATGTACATATGTACATGTGTATGTGTTGTGTAGATGCATACGTCCTACACTAGACTCCCCGTTTGCATTGTGATGAATTATTTGTATGAATTTTCAATCTAAAAAGAAATATCGTGAATATTTTTGTTTGTTTCTGGATAAAGGAGACGGAGACGTCGTGTGAGTTCCATCCCACAAAACATTATTAACAAGAGATGAAACGAACTCCAAATTAAACTAAATACATGAGAGAGTGCAAAAATGAATACAAAAAAGTAACCTGCCACCAAGCAAATGGAGAGACTTGATTTTACACAAAAAGCAGTACAAATGTTTGCAAAGCCGTACAAGAGAAGTAATAAAATATAGGCAACAAATTTAGGCTATTATGGTAAATTACGCAGCATGAAATGTTAAAAAATCTTTAGCCATCAAAGAAGGCTCTCTTGTTGGTTGTGAGGTGGTTGTGTCCACGTATTAGGTTACTTATTAATGCACTTGATATTTTCTCCTACATGATAAAATATGCAGGCAATAGGTATGTCCATGTCCTGCCAGGAATGTAAAACGCATTGAGAAATATTATATGCACGGGATTTTTTAACGACGCTTTAAATGAATGCATTCTCCTATGTGCTTTGTCATACTCACGAAACTACGATATAAAAAATGATCACAGGGACCAGTTCGGTCGGTGAGCGTATGGTGCAAAATTCGGCAAAATTTTAATTTGTATGACAAATTGAATGAGGTTCAAATTGTCCTTTTATGATGTAGAAACACGAGATAAATGCAAATGAGAATGCTGCTTGTTTGCAGAGCTACCCTTTGTATTTCAGTAGCTGAAGATTAATGTCACTTTACACCATATTAGAATAATATTGATAATGTTGGCAGATGACAAACATTAGCATTTATATTATCAAGGCATTAAACTACTCGTTTGTTCTTCAACTTGTTCATAAAGTGACAAATTTACACGAGCGAAGTGTGATTTTTTTTCACTGCTTCTAGTGACAGTATAAATAACTGCGATTATTTATATTCTCTCTTTTGTTAAATAACTCGCTTTTTTCCACTTGCAGAAAAATCCTACAACATAAAATTGATCAAAGTCCAACTCCAACCTTTGTTTTACATAACTTGTGCTCAACATGTAAGAGATGATCTACAAACGAATTTTTTAAACGCTCTTTAACGATTCAATAAAAGTGCCCACGCAGCAAAAGTTTGAGAGTTGCGGAAAGGTTGGTTATTGGCTGGCGATGAGCAGAGATCGGAATACTGATGAATATGCACTACAACAATGGCATATAGAATAATAGCAATTTCTCGACGTTTGCAAATTTTCTATGTTGTTGGCCGTCTCTGTGTGCCTATAGTTTATGGAACTAACGTGTAAATAACCTCCAATACAGGGAAAACCTTACATAAATGCATATGTACGTATGTACGTATCATAAACACAGCCACATTCAACGGGTTACTCAAAACCACGAATATGTACATTGGTACATAGGAAAGAACACTTATTTCGGCTTGTTAGTCAATCTTCTTTACCTGTCATGTAGCATCATCTCCGCAAAGTGTACCTCTACTATTAGCCATCCAGATTCTAAATCTCTCCTTCTTCGCCGCTACCTCCTAACTATTAATCATGTCTCACACGGCAGTGATTATTCTCGAGTCAAATTATTGCTGTAGATGAAATTCTAGCCTAATATTCAAGTGGACAGTTGAACAAAATTGCCTGGTCAAAGGGAAATTTGTTTAAAAAAATAATCCCTCAATTCACCCCTCCTTCGTTCGTTTTCTTCCAAACGAACGTAATAATAATGAAGGGAATGCACCGGCGCAGGAGAAGGTGAAGGGCTAATGAGAAGGAACAAAGGAACAGAGCTACACACAGACAAAACAGCAGATTATTTAGTTTTAGGCTGGTCTAGAGCACAAGATTACACCTTTTGTGCCGTGTGTTGTCCAACAACGAGGACTCGGACGAACTATTACGTATCCTTGTGCCTCCTTCAACCAATGAACATTTGGACTTTTTAATACTTTCATTCCCATTGAGCCTTGTTGGGTTTTGATCTCTACCTGAAAGGCTGCTTGCACGTATTACATTGCAGCAGCAGGTATGGATTGTACAGGTGTAGGTAACATTATGGACGTGTGTACATACGTTGTTGGATGCAGATTTAGGTGGTGGTTGCTAAGAATTCAGAGAAATTCATCATCGTGGTACTTGCTAAACAATGAAACGCGAGGAAATACCTCTCTGCTTTCATTAGCAGTTTCATCAAGTGCTAATTTAATTGGGAAAATTCGCACATTGCATGTCAATTATGCGAACAAAGAATTTCAGACTTGTGCTTGACATCATGACGGAATTAATTCAACTGTGTATGAAGTCAGAGACAAAAGTGGGAATGAATACAGCAAATGAATATAGAGAGATAAAAGTTGAATTGACGGTGAACTTGAAAACCAAATTTTATAAACTCTTTTCTCTCTCTCTACGAGTTGTCAAGTTTCAAATTGTTCTCAAACTCTCGTCTGTGTGTGTCTCACACTTTTTAGGTAATGAGGTTCGACTGATACATGTATTTTCAATGTAGGTCGTGTGAAACAATCCAAAAAGTGTATAGCGAGGCTCCATTGTTCCAAAACTTCTGGCTCCTTTCAGTCAATTCGTTCTCAAGCATTATTTGATAACAACCGTTTAATTCTTTTGGAAAATGTCTTTGGAAATGAATTTCATGAATTTATTTTCATTCTCTGCCTCTTTTTCTCTGCGACGGAGGATTGAATTTCCAATTTTCATCTTGCATCTCAGGTATTTGTAATGATCCCATACGCTTCTCCTTCTTCTTCCGAGGTGGTTTTTTAATAATAAAAACGAGGAGTTTCTCTCAAAGAGCGATTCGAGTCTGCCTACACGAGCAGGGAGACGAAGGCGTAGCGGGATGCATCGGAGATAGACTGGACCCTTAGGACTTTGTAACTCAGCGTGAGATGGACATCAACATAGACGCTGAGCATTCTCAACCCAGCTAACCAGACTCGAATTCAAATACCTTTGTTCTATCCAAACAAAATCTGAATTTCTCATCAACGATAATGATACTCACTCATCATCATCATCATCAGCATCATGGTTTCCACTCGTACAGTGTTGTTGGCCGTAACGTGCATACATAAGTAAATAAACCAAGTTTAGCTGGAGAACGGTAAACATGGGACAATGTTGTGTATAGCGTTTGAAAACCCACGTCCATCTACGTTTTATAGATATGCACAAGTTGTGGTGGGTGTATGAAATGAAATGAAATGGATGTTTTAAGCTGCTCAATAGTTCTCGACATGAAAGAGAGTCAGTCCGAAGAAGGCTAATAATAATACGAACGAACGGTGTGCATGGTGTGGTACATGTAATTTCATGGTATGCACGTATAACTCCTCACCAGCACCCAAGTCTCTCTCTCGAAAGAGTTGAGCTGATGATGAGCAGCACCTTAAAAACTGAAATCTATCTTTTAACAACCTCTGCAGCATTAACTAAAGAGAGCTAACGACAATATCCCTGATGCAGCTCTGCGCTTCCTCCGACTTGATTCTTGTTCATCTTCTTCTTCTTGGGTGCCAGTTCATTGTCTGGAGAAAAGCGACCCCACCACCGCACAAACACCCAACAGGAATCTAGTTCCTCCATATTATTATCCTCTTAATGGAATAAGGAGAGGAGGAGGAAGGAGATGAAGGGATATATTACAAGAAACCCTGACTCTTCTCATCTCATGTATTTAATAACAAGTATTTTGTCTCCCTCACCTCAAAAATTCCACCATTTAACTGTTATTTCTTTCTCTCTAACTCACTCTTTCCTTTTCTTTCAAAGGAAGGCCTAAACCAACTTTAGTTTAAAGCAGGCGAGTGAATTCTTCGCGTCTCATGCCCGCCTTTTTATCATTGTGGCAAGGCGGATGTTCCTCCGTTTGTGGAATTCGATTCATTTTAGGCCATTCTTCTGCGAACCATCTTCTTCTACATTGTGTTGTTGTATTGTCATTGATATTTTCCTAGATTCTATACAATACTACTCAGCATCCGCAGTTCTTCTTCTGACTGACTTCCCCAGAGAGAATATGTCATGAGGAAATATTCCCAAATATGCAAAAAATCTACTTTTGAGAAAGTTTCCTCTCCAGCATGAGTCGAAATCTAATTTATTATTGCATTTGATGTTCTTTTTCCCCATGGTATTACCCTGATGGTAATGGAAATGGAATGAATAATCGAAATATAAGGAGGCATCATTACTCGAATTCGTCTCATGATGGTACACACACATTTTACCAAAGGACCACCTCTCCTTCGACTCTGAGGTCCAAATCCATCCAAGCAAACACAACCTACGTCACTTCTCATGAGTGTGATTTCCGCTTCGATACCGTGCAGAAGATGAAAGCTCCAGATTTCTCGTTCATGTTTCGACCCTCGTGTATGAATGCGTCTGAATGTGCTGACTTGACTGGGAGAGAGGTGTCCGTCGTGGCACAATGAAAGGTATTGAAGAAGAGGGAGAAGGTTTCTTCGTTGTGGTGGAGAAGAAGGGAAGAGCGAGGATAACAATAGCCCCTCCTCACTCACAACAAGACCACATTACAGCAGGCTGATAATGTAATAAGGATAATGACTAATTTCAGTGAACACCAACAATGGAGCACAATTGGAGATAACACAACAAGCGCAGGGAGCAGAAGAAGAAGAAGAAGAAGAGCAACACAAGCGACCAAAAGATCAACAAGAAGGTGACTTGACTGACTGCGGTTGTAATGCGAGTTGGCTCCCATTTTATTTATTCTTTCTTTTTCGTTTACTGCTCTCTAAAAGTCGTGTGACAAGCAAGGCCTTTTCTTCCGAGTGTTGTGTTAAATAAATAACTGAGACTCGTCATGATGCTAACAACCACTTTCCCATTGTTGCTATCTGATGCTCATGTTTAGGCCTGTGGTGGGCATTGCATTGTTGTGACCATGCCACACAATATCAAGTCATGGAGGTCTCGGAGAGTTGTTGGGAAGTGAATAAGGCTGGAAATTTGTACTCATCCTACTGTGTGTGTGTTTTTGGGGCAGATTCACACCTTTTAATGGCATGAGGCATATTACGGGGAGGAATTATATTATATGCACATTCTTCTCTCTTTCATTCTTGTTATCCATCCATTTTGCTTACCTGGTTTGACGGAACAGTGGATATTGGTTCTGGACTCGTAGTGGACCCAGTCGAATCCCGCTTCCACCGCCAATCTTGCCAACATCCCCAACCTCGGTTTCTGTCGATCCGAAGTGGCAATGTCTACGGCACGACCTTCATAGTGGAGTTTACTTTGACCCGGAAATCCATCCTCGTCCCAGGCTTCCGTGACCCGCAACTTAATCCCGGGCCATTGGTTCATCACAGATATAGCCAACGTGTTGAGTTTCTCTTTGCAACGCTGCAAAATTCAGACAAAAAAGGCAGAGTTAGCTTAAATCATGTCATGACAGTCATGTCGTATGCGTTTTTTTATGTGGCTGAGCTAAGATGTCGTGTCGACCCTATTCGTCAACTGCTGCATGGGGGGCACTTAATGAAATCAATATAATCTGTTTGACGAGATCACAAATTATTGTACACGTCAAAGGTGAACAGCAACCCCTTTCATAATACTTATTCCTCCAAGTGCACACTTAACTTGCTTGACGGTGTGTGGGGTGGTTTGGCTTTTGACGTGGTGCTGTGTGTGGTTTAGTTTTGTGAGGAGGTGATGGGAGTAATAAAAAGCGAATAAAAGGACCGACATGGCAAGGTCTGAATGTACTAAGTGGTGATGATCATCTATCTTTCCATCCTTTGACCTATCTGTTATTTCCATCTGCTGCTGCTGCCCATCCATACATTTGTCTACCTATTATTCAACCTGCCGTTTGTCAAAGCCCTTGTTGCCTGCTCTCTTGTCAAAACAGAGCCGGCTATCCAGGCAGATTCAAAGAAACGAGGCATAAGAATAGGTCATCCTCCAGAAAATCTGTCCCGAAACGACAACATTTTCTTGCCGAGATCTACTTTACCACATTTTCATGACACACTAAATGTTTCACATTTTTTAAAAATAATCTCTTCAAAGTAAAAAATTGTAAACAGATTGCGACCAAAAATAGTATTCAACAAGAGACTTAATAGATCATGAGTTGGCCTAGTACGAGATAAATTTGGAAAATGTATGACGCAAAAAATAAATATTATGAAGTAATGAACTTAAGTTCTCTGAGCTAAATAAATTGAATTAATTTTGCGTTGTTGGAAAAGTAAGTCAACAACTAATTGCATGGGAACGAGACATATCATAAGTGCACATTTCGTACGGTTTTCACGTGCTTTTCTGCTGCCAATTTCGGTCAACGACAATCTTCCGGCTTGGCAATTAATTGCTAACGAGAGCCTTTTCTTCAAGTGCTGTGATCTGTTTAAGCGGATGAGATTCCGATTACTTGGCAAAATGTTGCACAAAAGATTGTAATGACATAAGATCCTCAGTCCACTTGATTCTGGCAAAACCTTTGTGTCACGACAAGTATCCAATTACAGAACGCGGAAAGCTCTAGCAAAACTATCTTCAAACACAAAAAAGTAGGCAGTGTTTGTCCACACTAGGCACACAAACCAAACCATAGAACGAATTTCAGATAAATGTATTGCATGCCACTAGCAAAGCTGAGCTACAATACTAATTATTCGGTTTAAAAGTGGAATATCGACATCTTAATACACGCGACGAAAATTCGCACGTGTCCCAAAAAAATTCCCAATCAAATGAATCAACTACAACACCTTAATTAAAGTGTGGTCGTATCTTATTTTTATATGGTAATGTTAACCTTTGATGAGACGTATCAACTTCTGCAGTTGAACTATTGTGATTTTGTAGCCAATTTTTCATCCTTTTTGACAGGCGATGGTCCATTCATGCAAACCTAGATACATATTAGACTTGGGATCCAGTCTCAGGTTTTGTGCCCCCTAAAAGTACATCTGTACCTTGTTGTACACCGGAGGTATGTATGCATTGATAAAAGTGATATAGAATCCATACAAGAAGGGAGCCTGACTAATATTGGATTGGATTGGTATTTTAAGCGTCTTCTCAGCTTTGCTTGTTATCTGGTTGGATAAACTAAAGGTGACCCGAGGAAGGCCCCCCGATGCGTTGATTTGCAAACGGAGTGAAAGATGGGTCGTTTTTCTTCTTGTGAAAGATGTTTCAGAAATTGTGTGGCACCCTGCGGTTGCTTCGCCTCTCCGTTCAAGCGACTTTTCCACTTTTTTGACTTTTTACTCCATTATCGCCACCCATTATCTGTCATTACATCCCACCAAACTCACGGAAGCAACAACTGAAGGAGCATCTCTTACTGGCGGCACGGCAAGTCTTCTTCTTATTCTTCTCTAACAACTCTTAACTTGACCACCATCGCATCCAGCCACACAACAACGAGCCAGCTAACCAACCATTTCTTTCTTTCATTTTTTTCACTCCCCTCCTCATGCCATAATATTTTACACAAATTAGTTGGTGAAAATGTTCCGAAAAACGACGATGTTCGTAGGTAGCTGCTCCTTTTAAATAATCCGAATTTCCACACGAAGCAAATTAATCCAGGTGAAAATGATGGCTAATTTTATTAAAATATGTAGCATATGCATACACAAGTCCTCATTGGTACACCAAATTAGGAAACCTGTCCACAAAGAAAGACAACTCTGTTGTGTTGGCTACGATGATGACGACGACGAAGACGATGGCGTTGTGCAAATTCGGAAGCTGCCATTGTGTCCAACATGCAAGAAGAATCGTAATATTTGAAACATGTGTACGTACGTAGGTAGATACATATTTTTTGAGCAAGAGTCAATAAATTGGACAACAAAAACTGAGGCGTTGTGTTGGTGGTGCTCTTTACAAAAGGCTGACATTGGTTATTATATTATTGTTGTGGAGGAATTGTTATTGATTGCCAGGTCTTTTCTGCCCGCCTGCCGACGACCATCGCCTCCGTACTATTATCGAAAGTTGGGAAAACGTTGGAAAAAAGAGGAAGAATGTTTTGAAATGTTGACAGCCGAAAAAGAGTCTGACACTTTTTCCATTGACTTGACTTGCCTACTTCCCAAAAACCCACTCAACGCCACTCCATAGGTCCAACTCCTATTAAACCACACACACACACATTTAGCTAGTACAACCATTGTGTCAATTATTCACCTCAACTCACCACCATGCATACGATAATGCCACCGCGATGCCATGCACCAACTATTTAACCTTCCACTTTTACTTATTTGACTAACCACAAGCAAAACAACTAAACAACAAAGAATTATGGAAATTAAACCGATACTTGTGACATGCCACCACCACCCCTTCCGAATTCCAACCGTTTTGACTTTAACTTTTCTCACCTGTGTGCATATGTCGAAAGCATAGAACGAAACGACGAAGCTAGCGTGTCACCTTGTCGTTTCTTTCAAGTGGGGAGAGTTGTGAACTGTTGACGTTGTCTGTCACAAATATTTGAACACATTATACGAATCTGTGTGGCTAAATGGATCCAAAGTATGAATGAATGAATGAATGAGTGAAGAATGGATGACTTTTCGGTCAAAAATTGTACAAATGCTGTTATTCTGGCTTTTGGTTCCTCCTTCCCAACAACAATTGATAGTGAATAACAACTCGAAATAGGTTTGTTTGGTTGTTTCAACACAGCTGCAACAATACGTTGTTTGCAGTGAGTCAAATCATCATCCGTCACTTCATTCAGTCGTCATCTCCACTTATTTATAATGCTGGATACGATGCGAGAATTCCGGTAATTTGCCAGGAGCTACAAGAAATATCAGTGTCAAGGTGGTGAGACGAAGAAATTCATTCTGACTCATAACACCGTTTTGTTCTGTGGTTTATGGTCTTTCCGTCTCCGCCTTCATCTTCATCAGTATGTATTTACAGGCTCAATCAGCCCAATAATGATTTTATAGGTGGCTCATATATCTCCCCAGTCAAAAAGTGCTTTGTCTGCTGTGGGAAAATTTAATGCAATAAAGAATTCAAGAGGTATGTATATCTAGCAATGCAGGTAGGAATTGGTGGTCACCAAATACATATTTATGTGCTATACGACAAAAAGTATGCATATATATAGGGTCACTTTCCGTATAACTCTAGCAGTATCATCACCCATTGTCGCTTGACCTGTTTCCCTTTCTTCCCACCTTGGTCCTTAGAAAACCTTTCTATTGTTTTATTTTACAGCCACATAAATCTTGCTGCATACTCCTCTTCGCCACTTACAGTTTCCCCCGGATTTATACTTGTTGAAACAAGATCGATTATTATGACTCTTGCTGACTTGACTGACGACTGACTGATACCAAAAAGTCAACTCTTGTTTTTTACAGGTTCGACATCCTCAAATTCCATTGGCCTTCTAAACACAGAAGAAAAAGAAAGAACAAAAATGCCAGTCGGTTTTCATTCTATTCTCAGAAATTACATTGGTCACTAGAATGCGACGTGATTGTTGGGAGATGAAGTTGAAGTTAGAACCAGACTCGACAAGGACAATAATATCACAAAATTCCAGAAACAATGAGAATATGGTCAACTATATAAATACAACGGTCATCATTCCTGTGTGTTCACACAACGACTCGCCGCATGTTTTATTGGTACCTTTTCCTCTGACAAAAAAATTGTGTGGTACAATTTCCGATGTTTTTTTTGGTGAATTACCGATTCTCTCCCATAAAGCGAGTACAGTTAGGAATTTCCACATTTATTTAGCATTGAATATATACACATGCATGCATACCGAGCATCTTTTTCTTTTGGGGATGCTGCCAAATACTACCTCCTCCTCCTACTCTCGTTCTTTTGTATTTAAGTATCCTTCAAAACTTGTAGGCCATTTTCTTTTCATGCTCCTGCAGCATGGAAATAATTGTGTGTAGTAGTCCATCCATTGCATACACATTTCCACCAACCTCGACCGTCTTTGTCCGAGATCACCAAATGTTCACCATGTTCGTTTTTTCCTCGCTGGAAATATTAAGTTTAAAGGAGGTAACGTTTAGCGTCGACTCGTTATTGAATTTATGCTTTCCATCGTAAAGATTAAAAACAATTCTTATTATCAAGTTGTATAAAAGTCATTATTTCCTCACAATTAGAAGAATCTCATCCAAATTACTTTTCTCTCCACTCACTCACACGATCTCGTACAATGAGAAGTTAACAAATCTGACTGAGGCAGACGGACGCTTGAGTATAATAATTTGTAAATTGCATCCATTTCTTTATTTCAACTCATCGTCATCATCATCACGCGATGTTGTTGATATTCATTATTTATTACCACGTCTTGACTAACTCAATTTCTCAAACTAACTAAACGA